AATGCGAGAGGGATTAAGCTTTGGTACGGCACCCACACAGGTGGACAAAGAGTGGAACGTTCATGTTATTTCAGAGCGCGAGCAATGTTCCTTCAAACATGTAAGGCACTGAGTTTTAGAGGGTGGAGGTGGTGTCACACAGCCGTTTGCGCCACTGTTTTCTCAGCAAGGTGGGAAAGGTTGCTGTGACGTGTGCAAGACAAGCAAACACACACATCGCCATGATCGCGAGACTTGTTGGTGACACACGTTTGCCGTCAAAAGGACAAAAAAAAAAAAAAATTCAGCTCAAATGTTGGTTTAGTCTCCAAAAATATATGAAATGGTATTTTCCCCTAGTTTGGTTTTATTTTTTTGTGGGACGGAGTCACGGGCTCTCAAAAGTACACCACCTCTTAAAGGTTAGCGGAAGCATACCGACATGTCACCACACCTCAAGAAGACGTGTTGAACTTGGCACAACAATTGCATATTTAAACTTTGTTTTACAGCGTGACTTTGGAATCGCGTACAAATCACGATGCTTCAATATACTACTTACCATGCAGGGTTTATTCCCTTAACCTGAAGATATTACGACACAGGAATTCTGATCATCTTGTTTGGATTTCCCTCTCGCAGCACGGCGGAGTCAACATGTTCATTGTCATAAGATCTCATTTAGCATTAAAAACACTTTCCAATTTCGAATCAAAAATTATGTCATCGCAAATTACTTTTTTTCTTTTATCAAACAAATCTGAAAACCACAAAAACCCATCAACAAGGCGAACGCAGGACACAATCCATGTGGCACGTGACTAAAAAGTAGTTCTGACAGAAGTGGCTCAATTTCTGAAAATAACATTTTTTGTGCAAACAAAGGCTTGTAATATACAGCTGAGAAATAAAGAGGCGACTATTCATGGAGCAAAAGAAGAGCATGAATCGTTAAACAGTAGAGCGGGTGAAAGCGTCTGCTCTGTTATGACATCTAATTAGGGCCTTCAAGTCTCGGTCAGGAAAGGAAGAACAAATTTGTTGTTAAAATATGCCACTCACTTTCTTTTGTCACTGTTGTCACACAGGATTCATCCAGCCATCCATTTGCTCATCGAGGGCGTGCTGGAGCCTATTCCAACCATCTTCGGGCAGTAGGCAGGGCACACCCTGAACTGATTGACAGCCAATCACAGGGCACAAATACATTAACAACCATTGACGCTCAAAATCACACTTAGGGACAATTTTGAGTGTTCAATTAACCTACTTGGGGTGTGGGAGGACATCGGAATACCCCTGGGAAAACCCTCGCCGACAGGGCGAGAAGATGTTGTTGAACCTTGAACGGTGGAATGAAAACAAAGCCCATCAGGAAAAATATTTTCTGTGAAATGCTAAGCTCTGGAAATCAAGAGTCACCATAATATTCTCTTAATGGGCAATAAAAACAATAAAGTCCATTCTTGGAGAGGCTCTCACAGGTGCACACCTTTCCTGACTTAAGCACAAGGGAAAATATGCCCCTGTCTCACAACTCTTAAAATAGTGTTCATTCGTAATAGAACTTTTCGTAAAATAGTGTTCATTCGTATACTAACAGATAAGGGGGGAAAAAAACAAAACAAAACGCTTTGCGATCTTTCGTTTGAAATATTCAGGCAGGTGTGAAAGCAATCCCTGCAAATGTCCGATAACTTTATCCAAAATAATTATTAGTAATGAACTTCAAACAAAATGTCTGATGACTTTCCAAAAGCTATTAAACTAGAAGTGACACGGCCAAATGGCTTGGCTTTCCTACATAGAATGCCCAAAGGGCGGCCAACTGGCTGGATTAGTTTCACCATTGATCTGCAAAGGAGGCAAACTGTGGCGTAAACAACATAACTCAGCAATGACCCTTCGCATGCGAATGTGAAGAAAAGAATGTTTGGTGGAGGACAAGTGAACGCGTTTGTCTATTTTAAGGAACAGTATGTGCTTTCTGCTCTTTTACACTGTTGCTATGACATGCTATGTTCTCGGCTCTGCTTTCTATCTGAAAAGCCCATCCAGCGACAAGGGTTGCGAATTAGCTCAATGCTCAATACTCGACGTGCGTCTTCACTTCTTAGTGGAGTGAGTTATTGAGCAAGTATCCTGTGCGCAAGCTCTTTATGCATCTAGGACAGCAGAGCGGGTGAAAGCGTCTGGTCTGTTATGACGTCTAATTAGGGCCTTCAAATCTCAGGCAGGGACAGGAAGAAGAAATTTGTTGTCAAAATATGCCACTCACTTTCTTTGGTCACTGTTGTCACACAGAATTCATCCATCCGTCCATTTTCTAATCGCAGGTGTGCTGGAGCCTATTCCAACCATCTTTGGGCAGTAGGCAGGGTACACCCTGAACTGGTTGCCAGCCAATCGCAGGTCACGCATAAATTAACAACCATTGACGGTCACAATCACACTTAGGGACAATTTTGCGTGTTCAATTAAAACACAAGAAGTACCACAGCCAAATGGCTTGGCTGGCCTACGTAGAATGCCCAAAGGGCAGCCAACTCATCATGCAATTGAGGTAAACTCTGGTGTGAACAAAACAACTCAGCAATGACCCTTCGCATGCGAATGTGAAGAAAAGAATGTTTGGTGGGGTTTCGGGTGCTTCGACGACATGATTAGAATTTAAATACTAACATCGAAGTTTGCACACAAGACAGGACAACACTTTTTGTACTGACGCAAGTACTACTACGATGATTAGAAGACTTGCATATTGCTTTTATTGTCATTGCAGTGCACAAGACCGGACTGCTGCTCCTTTGCGTGATACAAAAACAAAGAAAACACAACGGTAATATGCAAAGGAAAACAATGAAATCGTGTGCAAACTGCAGTCAAACATCATTTAGAATGATCATAAAAAAATGAATACAATTAAACACAATTAAGTCCAGCGCAATCAAGCGGTGCTCTTGTAAACAATTCTGATACTCTTGTGGCCAATCTTGAGTTATATTGCACTTGTAACAATGATTAAAGGTCATATAAATAACATGTGAATATGAACCAAAGGTGAGAAACCCCGTCAAGCCGAAGAAGACATCTCATCAGTTCCTTTTGGCCAAACGGGACTCCGTAAGCCGTTGACGGGCCGGACGGCCAAGCGAAATGTAGCTTTGTTGGTCCTTGAGGAGGAGTTTGGTGAGGCCACGCAGAACGACTTCCGGATAGCTGTGAGGGAATTCTGGTCCAGCGTATCTCAGGAGGTGGGAAGGTGTGCACCATCAACATTGTGTATGGTGGATATGGGGAGTGGTTGACCTGGATTAGAGACATTTGGATGATGTGGGGCTGTCCTGGGGGGACCCCCTTCTGAAACTTTGCATGGACATTGGGGAAAGTGCATCTGGATCGGCAGGCCCGCGGTGGTGGTCCTCTTTTTAGCAGTGGTCGATTCAGGGGTGCTGGAGAGGAGACTCCGTCAAAAGGTCGAATCACACATTCAGGTGGAGCAGTGTGGTTTTCGTGCCATGGAAAAGTGGAATCCACTCTACACCAGGGTCCTCGAGGGTGCGTGGGAGTTCAGCCAACCAGTGGGCAAGTGTTTTATGGACTTGAAGAAAGCCATGTCCTTCAAGGGGTTCGGGGGCGGTGGGATACATCATGGTATGGGGTACCGAACCCTTTGATGTGGGCTCTTCAGCCCTGATCTGACCAGTGTCAGAACTTGGTCCACATTATCGCCGTGATCTTTGACTGTCATTGGGCAGTGGGGGTGGAGGGAGAGGGGGTCCTCAGCCAAGTGTGAAGCAGCTGGGTTGAGAATCTGCACCTTCAAATCTGCATCCCCAATCCATGATGCTGTCGACCTTTTGGCAGCCTCCCTGATCAGTTTTATTCCCATCTTTTCATCAATTTTGAAGGGGGCCATCCATATTTTCTCCACTTGACGTGATCAGTGGTAGACTTCATGCCATGGAAATTTTTTTGTACCCTTCTCCTGATTGACACCTTTGAACAATGACATCCCTCGGAGTCTGTTGAAAGCTCTCTGCAGACCATGGCTTGAGATGCAAAATGAAAGAGAAAAGCCTACAAGAACATCTGAACTCTTTAGGTGGTGGCGGTGGTGGTGGTGGTGGGGTTGGGGGGTGTAATCATAGGCTCTTTAAAATGTGACGTGTGTTAATTCTCATTTAAAATGAGTTAGAATGTGATTGGTTCATTCTGAACAACCACATCCCGAGATATCAGAGGGTGTGCACACTTGCAACAGGTTTAGCTCGTTTGTTTATTTGAGTTGTACAGTTATGAGGTCATGAACTGGTTGATTTTTTTTTTTAATTATTGTTTACCTTGTTCAGATTTACATCACAAAAGTCTGGCATATGAACTTTCTGGCTATCTGTTTTTTTATTGCTTTTATTGTTTTTCATACACAGGCTTTTAATTTTTTTGTGCACTTTTTTGTAAACTGTAGAAAAAAAATAGTTTTTCATGGAATTTCCATTTTTGAGGGGGCATTTCTCCCTAATATAAGAAAAAAACAGTCGCCATCATCATCCATCCATCCGTATCCCGATCCACTTTATCCTCACAAGGGTCGCCGGGGGGGGTGCTGAGCGTATCCCAGCCATCTTCGGGCAGTAGGCAGGGGACACGCTGAGCCAGTTGCCAGCCAATCGCAGGGCACACAGAGAGGAACAATTATTTGCACACTCACACCAAGGGACAATTTAGAGCGTGCAATCAGACTGCCATGCATGTTTTTGGAATGTGGGAGGAAACCGGAGTACCCGGAGAAAACCCACGCAGGCCCAGGGAGAACATGCAAACTCCACACAGGGAGGCCCGAGCTGGAATTGAACCCGGTACCTCTGCACTGTGAGGTCAACACGCTCACCACTGGCCCACCGGGCCGCGGTCGTCGTCATCATCTGATCAGTAACTCTACATTTGTAACTGTGTAAACATGATCATGTTATTTTCAAGTATTAATTACTTTTGTTTCAGTATTATTTGGAGATTTGGTGTCAGGGCTGATGCCTTCTGTTTTTTTTTTTTTTTTTTTTTTTTAATTCAGACACACAAGCAAATAAGGTTTGTATTATGTCTTATTCTTCAAGATGTCAATTAGATCCGCCCTAAGTGTTTGAAAAGATGGTCTATTTTTGGGTTCATGCTGCCAGCAGCTGCTCATAAGCGTGGACACTTCCGGCGGGCAGTCGTGTGGAGCCTGCATACGATAGCCTGAAACAAATTGGTACACACAGCGGTTAAAATGTGCATGAACATTTGATTTTTTTATTGATGAAGTCACTGAAAGTCATTTTCAGGTAGTGACTACAGCGCTTGTGTCTTTACCTTTATCCACTCGCTCTCTGACCTGCTGGTTGCTCATGCTGGTGTAAGGGATCATTCCCATGGAGAAAACCTCCCACATCAGTACACCAAAGCTCCAGACGTCACTCTCGGTGGTATAACGACCTGCAAAATAAGCGGTAGGGGGCAGTGTTGACAAAGGAAAGTTTCTCAGCAAAACAATACCACCAGAGACGTTATGACTGATAACAATAGCAATATAATTATAATTTAAATATTGAGTGAGTAGGGGATCTATCAGAGGCTTATCCTTTCATTTAAAGCTTTACTTATAACCAGGAATGACTTTGGTCACAATGAATCATTATTTTTATAGAACCATCTGACTCAACTGATCGTAATGTTCAAAAAAAGTACCTCCGTCATTACGGCTAATATCGCTATAGCGTCTTTTTTTTTTTGCGTCTGTAAACATAGAGCTGTTGTGACTTGCGAAAAAGCTCCAGTCTTGTCTCGTCTGCATAAATGTTATTTTCCCAGAAGATTTTCCTTTCCTATCGGTGTCATTTATTTCAGTGACACCACATCATGTTAAGTGGCCCGCGAAAGCAAATCAAAGATGACAACTTCCACAATGCTTACTAAAATCTGTACCAGAATTTCAAATTTTCATATGTACTAAATCTGTGACATATTGTAAGCATTTTCTTGTTACCAAAGCTCTCATTTCAGTTACTTAAACAATAGTTGAATAAAACGTAATTCTTGACTTTATTATATAGTTTCAGTCATCATGGCCCTCCAAGTGAAACGGTAATTATAATGTGTTCCGAGACAAAAATGAGTTTGACACCCCTGGTCTATGCCTTGCACGAAGAAAAGAACGCAGTTTTAAGAATGAAACATGGAGGAGGTTCGGTAATGTTCTGGGGCTGCTTTAAAAGGAAAACAAAAATACAAGAATGGCTAAGAACCAAACATTGGACTACTCAGCTCCTTCCACAGATGTGAACCATGCTATTTCACATCTGTGGAAGGAGCTGAAACATGCAATCTGGAGAAGGCACCCTTCAAACATGAAACAGCTGGCGCAGTGGTTGCCTCAAAAGGTTGTACAATGAAAAATTAAAATAAGAGCAGTCGCGGGCCTAGCCGGCATGATGCATAAGCCTAAATTAATTCGAAAATCTATTTCTGAATCACAGTTTGTCTACTTGAGGATGAATGCGGACATCTTCTTGTGTGTGTATTTGCAGACGTGTAATACCGTAGTTCAGTGCTTCGGGAGCCGTCCATTTGATTGGAATTTGTCTGAGACTGCCCTCGGCTGAATAGACGCCATCATCCTGCTGCCGCGACATCCCAAAATCACTGATCTTGACGACGCGCTGCTCCGTCACTAGACAGTTTCGGGCTGCCAGATCTCTGGAAAAAGACAAGACAGATGTGAGCTGCTGTATACACACAAGATGAGGGCCAAACACAAAACGGGAAGGATTCAGATGGAGAGCAGGTGCTTGGGTTGTAACGTATCACGCATAGCACATGCGAGGCACTTTCACCTTACCAGCTGCCTCCTCTGATGTGCCACACAGTCCATCTCACACTCCTCTCGTTCGCGGTTTCAACATTTGCAACACACACCATTTTTCATATTTCTATCAATTTTGATATGCTCATTGTCTCACAGACACGCCTTTTGACTGCTGACAAATGGATAAATTACCACTGTGATGGTTATATCCAGTTACACATGATTTAACATACTTGCTGTGGCTCTTCGTGGCACTTTCCAAACCACTCAACCAAATTCAATTTGATCCCCAACAAGACTGAATTATTCAGAACGTTTTTAAATGCAGCGCTGATCATTATTAACACTCCAGAGCTTGAGCTTGTCCTTGAGTCGTACCCATAAATGTGTACAAGTAAGCCGTGAATGTTGTAGAGCAAACATACACAAGTTGAGAAAACTGTTGGTGCCCCACTGTTCAGGAAATAAAAACACACAGTGGTCACAGAAATAACTTGAATCTGACTAAAGTAATGATACTTTTAAAAAATAACTGAAAATACATTGACATGTTCAACCAAGGTATCTCCACTAATTAGCATCGCAAGAGTCTTCAAACTTGTCAGTCAGTCGTCCTATTTAAAGTGTGGCAAGTAGTCACTGTGCTGTTTGGAGAAATGATGTGTACCACATTAAACACAGACTAGAGGAAGTGAAAGTGAGTCGAAAGAAAAATATATAGACAAGAACATTTTAAGGGGAAAGGCTACAGTCGTTTTTGTACTCTATTTCTACCATTAAGAAATAATAAAAATTGTTTTGGTGCATCTTTTTATATCGACATCGCTTGATTTTGTCTGTATAATGTTTTTTGTTTTTTTTTTTGAGCTGTTGCTATATAACCAAACTATGCCTTAAAAGTTAAATACAATACAAGTATTACCTGTGAATGCACTTCCTTCTCTCCAGGTACTCCATGCCCGCCGCGACATTTTCTGTCATTCTGATTAGCATCTTATGGGACAGACTCGGACCGTCCAGACGCAAGAAGGACAGGAAATCTCCACCTTTTCAAATTTGCACACATACTATATCAGTTCAATTACAAAGAAACAAAATGGGGAAACAGTAAAGATGAAATAAACAAGCCAAGCAAAGTGTACTAATATTTGGTATCAAGTTTTCTCTTACTATAATGCATTTTAACTTTCATGGCCATGAGAAATCAATTTGATCACTTTTAAGCAATTTTGTCGGGTTTTTTTGTCGGGTTTTACAGTGTACAGGCATGTCCAAATTTAGAGTAGCACATCTATGTAGTGCCAAGTTGTGCCACAACATGCGCGGTAGCACTGAGCTCAACATGATGCACTGGTAGATGCTTTATAATTAAGAGCAGGAAGAAGAGGCCTAGATTTTTGACACACCTTTCACAAGCTCCATTACGATATAGATGGGCTGTTTCTGAGTGCACACACCGATCAGTTTCACAATATTGGGATGGTCGTACTGCTTCAGGATCCTGCGTGACACAGCAACAGGAGGATTTGAGGTGGGTGTGGGGCCATTGGGTGTATGTGATGTGCATGTGAGCATGTGGTTTTAACTAACCGGGCCTCCATCAGGAATTTATTCTTGTGTTCCGGTGCCAGGTTCTCTTTACAAGTCTTCACTGCCACAAGGGTGTTATCGCAGCACAGAGTCCCCCTGTACACCTCCCCAAAGTTACCCTGTGTGGTCCAAAAAAACGTATTTAAACGGCTCCCCTTCAAATAGAAATCTCATGAGTGTGAATTATTTTGCGACACGCAACCTTGTGCAACACTGGTTGCATTTGATGAAGCAATTAATCAGTGTGTTGGTTGTAGATGAGCAAGTGGACCACTTAGCCACCAAGTACACAGCTGCTTAGACTCTCTATAGATTTAATTAAGACACACGCTTTAAAAAAAAGTGATAGATGATAAATGTGTTTTGTTTTTTGTTTTTTTCTTTTTTACACAGTGGAAGAAGTCAAATGCGCTCAAATATAGGAATAGTGGATACTATGTTAAGCTTCCATATATAAGCTAATCAAGATTTACCCTGAACCGGTTGCCAGCCAATCGCAGGGCACACACAGACGAACAACCATCCGCGCTCACACTAACACCTCGGGACAGTTTGGAGTGTTCCATTAACGTGTCATGCACATTTTTAGAATGTGAGAGGAAACCGGAATACCCGGTGGAAACCCACGCAGGCACGGAAAGAACATGCAAACCCTACACAGGAAGGTTGGAATTGAACCCTGGCCTATGTGATGCGGACTTGCTGGACCACCGGGCCCAAGAGAGGGGGCATACTTTTCTTTCACATCCTGCACTGCCTAACAGTTTGAATTAATAGAAATACATGTAATTTGAAGTCCAAGATTTCCAAGTCATCATTTTGATCGAATCAAGTGCTGCTTACTGATCATTTTTGTGAGAAATCGTTCACATTCTAAGTTTCTTCATGCAGATCAATATCATTCATGAATAATAATCACAAATAATTAATGGTAGTTTGAGCAAATCTTTTGTTTCAGAAGTGTGTATAAAAGTGGCATGAATGAATAGCCGAGAAGTAGTTCTTGATTTAAAAACGGTTGGTAACTCTTGTTCTAAATTGGTGCGAAAATGTGTGTGATTGTTTTTTGTTTGGTTGTTTGTTTTGAGGGGGGCAGTCCAGGCCAGGATATACTCTACGTCTCACCAAAAATGTGGATTAGACTTCACTCATGCAAGACCCACAACAGGGTAATCGGGAGACAATGGATGGATGGATGGGTGACTGATCTAAAATTTAGATTAAAAAAAATTAAAATCTTACCCACCCGCCCGATGATGTTTCCTAATATAACATCGTCATGTTCCAGGACCCATTTGTCCTATCCAAGGAGAAAAAGCAAGACAGTCGTTTAGCAGTGAGTGGGTCCTATTTATCCGAATGGACGAGTTAAGTGAGTGATCGCATGGAGGAAACGGAGCAAATGATGCGCTACCTTGAGAACAGGTTTCCTCAGCTCTATATCACACTTGCGAGTGATATGCTGTCTGGAGGAGAGCATATGATGGATCATATGCGGGATGCTGCTGAAGCTCTCCCCATCCAGGCGGTACTCATTCTCCATTGCATCCACAAAAGCATTCGCAAAGGTGACAAAACAGGCAAAAGATACTTTGGGAGCGAAATTGCAAAAATGTTGCAGGGTGTGAAGGCGGCTTCGCTTACGTTTAGGCTCTGAATGAGGAAATGCTTGCAGGAGCCATCCCAGTGGACAGAGAGCACATAACCTTGTTTTTCTTGACTCTTCCTCACCAAGAAATCTCCGTCACACTGCAGCAGCTGCTGAACCTCCGACCTCGGAACAGCTCCATGGTACCAGTCCTGCTGCTCCAGAGGACGATCCACCTCCTGTAGCTGGAACACAGAGGAGAAGAGAAAAGGGAAACGGCTGGCATGATTTTGAGGAAAATGAATGGAGATGCTTGGCAAAGGAGGCTGTCATGTTTGGCTCTGCCAAGCAGGTTTTTGGTAGTGTTTGTTACCTCTGCCAAGTGAGAAAGGGTGAGAGGTATTGTTTTGTTTTGGGGTTTTTTTCTGGATGTGTAAGGGGATCATATTCAGTTATGATGGGAATCCAGTCAAAGAAATGCTGGCTGTTCTTGCTGTGCACGACTTGGCCACTTAGGGGAAGTGTGGTGTCATGCATGCATAGACGTACACTTAAATTAAGATTAAAAAAAGTAGAAAAGCGTTTTGAGCTTCAGTATTGTGACTCAAGTTTCACTGATTCAGAACAATCTTTGAGTATTGTATCACCTGTCTGATTGTGTTACCACAGCTTTGTGTGGGACTATGTATTTTGAAGTACTATCACTTTCACAACTCGATGCTAATTTCCTATTTGCATATCAATGATATTTTGACTTGATCGTTAGCATTAGCACCCACAAAGTACTGTATGTCTCTTATTTAAATAAGCAATGTGTGTCATTCTTTTTGTTGTGTGTTTAGTTTTACAGCTAACAGCAGTTCTTGTGGTGTCTCAAATTTACAAGACATTTATCTTCACTTTACAGGCACTTAGTTTTTTTATTTTTTTATCGATTAATGCATAAATCTGAATGACAGTAGCCAAGCATATACAGAAGGTGGCGTTCAATTAAAATGTGCAGTTTGGTGCTGATCCAAATTGAGATTGATCAGCCTTGGCACAGCACAGTGCCTTTCTTGGTTAAAATTTAAAAAAAAAAAAAAAAACTGAAACTGTATCACATGCGCAAGAGCAAATGAGCACAAACTTAGAATTTAACGTAACATAGCTAAAGAGTGGTTTTCATACTTTTCCTAGGCCATGCGACACTACAAAAATGAATGCCCTACACCCAAAAAATTCAGCATAAAAAACAAAATGACCATTAGTATGACTTTTTTTGTTAAGTTTATGTTCAGTACAATGTGGCTTTTTGTTTGGTAGAAACCTTAAAAGTCCCCTAGCACGCCAGAGACTGATGAAAGAGTTCTGTTGGTAACTCTGGCACTTTTACCATCAAAATGTGATGGATTGGTTACTATGTGGAGAGAAGTTTTACTGTGTTTGTCTCAGTGTGAGCAGTTCTGCTTCAAATGCAGTATAGTGCCATGGGTGTCCGTATCAGAATCACTCAGTCACCATGATAATGTATCAGAAAAATGAAAACTCAGAGGTCGTATTATAAGTGGACAAATACTTGCACACATTCTCTTACATTGTGTTTCCTTCTCCTTTCATAGCATATTTGTTCATTGGATGTGCAGTAAACCTTCCATCGTGTGTTAAGGGTTTGCTGGTCTACTAGTTTGCTGATCGATTTTGTCCAGTTATTAATCAGTTTTGTTCTGTTTAATTGGAGTAATTCCACTATCGGCTACTACATGGTGGCACACTATTGGGTTGAACACTGTAAATTTGAAACAAGTGTGAAAGGAAGAGATTATTGAACATCATGATCCACTCCCATCCTGCTTTTTATGCCTACAGAAAGCCTACAGAAAGCAACAGCTGCAGGTTCATTTTCTCATTTTATATATATATATATATATATATATAGAGAAAATGAACCTGCAGCTGTTGCTTTCTGTAGGCTTTCTGTAGGCATAAAAAGCAGGATGGGAGTGGATCATGATGCTCAATAATCTCTTCCTTTCACACTTGTTTCAAATTTACAGTGTTCAACCCAATAGTGTGCCACCATGTAGTAGCCGATAGTGGAATTACTCCAATTAAACAGAACAAAACTGATTAATAACTGGACAAAATCGATCAGCAAACTAGTAGACCAGCAAACCCTTAACACACGATGGAAGGTTTACTGCACATCCAATGAACAAATATGCTATGAAAGGAGAAGGAAACACAATGTAAGAGAATGTGTGCAAGTATTTGTCCACTTATAATACGACCTCTGAGTTTTCATTTTTCTGATACATTATCATGGTGACTGAGTGATTCTGATACGGACACCCATGGCACTATACTGCATTTGAAGCAGAACTGCTCACACTGAGACAAACACAGTAAAACTTCTCTCCACATAGTAACCAATCCATCACATTTTGATGGTAAAAGTGCCAGAGTTACCAACAATCAATTTCTAGTGTTTAACTTACATCACTTTTGGCTGGAAAAAAACTCTTCATGATCCCGTTGCTGAGTAGCTTGATTGCTGTCTGTTTGTGGTCCTGAAAAACAATCACAGAGCAAAGCATGCAGGTTAATGAAGTCTTAATTGATGTATAATTTGTTTATTAAGTAGATTATTTATTGGGGTAGTAAGCCAGCACTAAATGGCTTATCACTTATAGTTAACGTTATATTTTTATAGCTTGCCACATTTATGGCCCAATAAAATGTCTTCCTTCAAATAAGGAAGTTGTTGGATTTAGTCAGTAATGAATGCAAAAAAATAAATAAATAACAGTGAAAGTCAAATTGCTCATCATTATCACTACCGGTTAAATGACGTGAACTGACTGCAAACTCAAGGTAGAGAAAAGTAGTTAGACATATCTAAACATAAGTAGTACTGAACTATTTGGAAAAAAAGAAAACATCCATTACAGCCAAGTCGATGGCATTGCAGCAGCAGAAGGCTTTAGGGGTACTCTTTTGATGGATTTAACATTTCTCATATTGCAGATACTAAAGAGAGTCTAACACATACAGATTTTTGTCTGAGATGAAATAACCAAAAATTATTTATGGTTGCTTGAAAATGGTTGGATCTATTTTAAGAGATTGAAAAACCTCCATAAAAAGTAAAGTTCATTTATAAAACTTCCCTCAGGTTAAGTACTTTCATTGCCGTAAGAGAGATCAGACTATTAAAACACATCAGCATCTGGAAGCAGCCCAATGTAATCCCAATCGAATCTGATTGGATGACACATCGCGACATTCTTGTCTAAGTTTTGGACATTAACAGCCGCAATACACAACATTTGCAGAAGAACATACGTTGCTGGTATTGGATGAAATGGAAAGTGTGTCTTTGTCCAGCTGCAGAGCAGGAGGAGGTTCTTGGGAGCCCAGCTGCTCCAACGCTGTCTTCAGAATCAACCTCTGGATCTCCAGCTTGGCCCTCCTGCCTTGAGACAGCGCTACCTGCTGCCGAAACTCCTCCAGAGCTTGTCTCTTGCTCAGCTGGTACACTCTGCATGTAATATCGCAGTGGATTTAATGAATAGAAAATGAATAATACTTAAATGGGATAAAGACAAGGAGACGTGAATGTCTTAGGACAATGCGATCTACAGAAAGTAAAGCGGGACTGGTTTTATCTTTTCCTTGGTAATTTGATCTTTTGGGAACCTAAAATGAGGGTAAAAAAAAAAAAAAAAAAAAAGCATCCGGTGGGTCATATCAGCAGTCGTCATGCACTTTTCTACACATTTATTTTCATCTGTGGCAATTAAAAAAGAAAATATGAGTGCCTCCACTTACTCAGCTCAATTCACTTCACAACACAACAAGCAGCAGTTTGGTGGTTACTTAAAAATCTTGCCAAAAAAAGCGGCTTCAAGATGTTTAATGACACTGTCAGTTGAAGTTTTCTACCAAATAAAACACAGTATAAAGAGAATTACATTTTATGTATTTGAAGAAACCACATCAATTTGCTTTGAAGTCTGCTATCTTAATGCTAACAAAAGTGGGAAAGTGGCAAGTGAATAGCTTCAGTGATGTGGATTATTAAGTATTTAAGCAACTAGTATTTTAACCCAAACAGTGGTGCAACACATGCAGACAGACAATGTTGTGCCCCCCAGAAAAAAGCAAAAACTTGCAAATACTGACGCTTATTAAAAATGAAATGACTTTTTTTTTCAGATAAGAAGGCAAAAAGTCGGCAATTGGGTTCAGAATAAATACTGCGAATATGCAGGATGTTCCATGAATAACGACAAAGGATCAACACTGCCCCCCCACCCCCAAAAAAAATCTTTTTAAATCAGTGTATATAGGTGAATCTGAAAATGCTGAAGCACAAATACACGGGTGTCCACGATCTAACAATACTTTCAGGCATGTATTCCTTATCCCCTGCAAAGAAAAACTAACATTACTGTAGTTTACCGAGGGGCTGAGACCATCTCCATGTTGGGTCATATCAGCAGTCGTCATGCACTTTTCTACACATTTATTTTCATCTGTGGCAATTAAAAAAGAAAATATGAGTGCCTCCACTTACTCAGCTCAATTCACTTCACAACACAACAAGCAGCAGTTTGGTGGTTACTTAAAAATCTTGCCAAAAAAAGCGGCTTCAAGATGTTTAATGACACTGTCAGTTGAAGTTTTCTACCAAATAAAACACAGTATAAAGAGAATTACATTTTATGTATTTGAAGAAACCACATCAATTTGCTTTGAAGTCTGCTATCTTAATGCTAACAAAAGTGGGAAAGTGGCAAGTGAATAGCTTCAGTGATGTGGATTATTAAGTATTTAAGCAACTAGTATTTTAACCCAAACAGTGGTGCAACACATGCAGACAGACAATGTTGTGCCCCCCAGAAAAAAGCAAAAACTTGCAAATACTGACGCTTATTAAAAATGAAATGACTTTTTTTTTCAGATAAGAAGGCAAAAAGTCGGCAATTGGGTTCAGAATAAATACTGCGAATATGCAGGATGTTCCATGAATAACGACAAAGGATCAACACTGCCCCCCCACCCCCAAAAAAAATCTTTTTAAATCAGTGTATATAGGTGAATCTGAAAATGCTGAAGCACAAATACACGGGTGTCCACGATCTAACAATACTTTCAGGCATGTATTCCTTATCCCCTGCAAAGAAAAACTAACATTACTGTAGTTTACCGAGGGGCTGAGACCATCTCCATGTATACTGTATTTGTATGTCTGTATGTATTACAGCGCCCCCAGGCGGCTAACACACCAGAAGAAGCACACTGCCCAATGAATTGAAGTTAAAAAAAATGGATTTCCTTACATTCTATTTAAAGACGTCATGATTTTATAAAGTACAATATTATTTTTCTTATTAAAATGGACTAACAGAGAAAATGCAGCAAAAGAAGCGACTGAAATGTGAAATGCAGGAACTCGCTGCAGCCCCTGGACATTACACTTACATTTTTTTCCCATGAAGGGAAAGAAAGGGCTACTTATTGTGGATTCATTTCTGTTAACAGCATGCTAGAGTTGCTCAACTCTAGATTTATTTGAAAATACAATTAATAAAATATTATCCCTTTCAATTTCTGGTTCTATTCAGCTAGTGTAGAAATCATAGAATTACTTGATCTGCACTGCTTTATGGGTTCCTCGACCACAAAGTTTTGTCGTAATCAGTTATGCTGTTTACTGTATGTGATCTCCCTCTCCAAACATAAACTCTCAGCGCTCTCTAGGAGGTAATTCATTGTCTATTGGAAACAATTTACAGGACGAATGAACCACACAATAGTGCAAGACAACGCAGACGTCCATATGTTCTATTGACAAGTGGGATCAATAAAAGAGGCTTCTGCTTTGGCTGCGGCTTCACAACTTCAACATGCTGCAGACCCCGGAGCATAAAGCTCCGCTACTGTTTGGGATATTTCCATCATTAGTATTCAAGCACTAATCCGAGAAAAAAACACAATCAGGTCTATGATATGCTGTATTATAAAAGCAAATTCTGTCTCATATAGTTTACAATTCAATTAAATTGTGTTACATATGAATAAGATGCCATTGTGTAGCCCTGGTATAATTATGTTCATGGAATTAGGAAATAAAAACCGAAAAAAAAACAAGAACCGAAAAAAATTGTATTCAGTTGTATTGAAATGACATATCCACATACATATTTACGATAAATTTTGCCCTGATGTTGTTTTCGTCTTTAAGTTCAAGGGGGGAAAAAAACAGTTAATAATCTGGATTTTAAAAGCATTTATCCTTGGGGCTGACTTTACTTCTGTTGGCAGCGTATTCCATTTGTGTACAGCATAACAGCAAAATACTGCTTCAGCATGTTTGCTTTGAATTGAGTCTGCAGACATCAGAGCCCTATTGGGTTTATGTAATGATTCGCATTTCTTTAATGTATTTATGACCGAAACCATTCAGTGATTGATAGACCAGGAGGATAATTTTTATGTCCATTCTACAGCTGACTGGAAGCCAGCAATATAGTACTTCATCACATTAACAGCATTGCTTTATTGTAATCAACGAAGCACTGACAGCTCCTGGGATCACAGTTAATAAGTTCCTGTGAGCTCACCGAACTCTGATAGTGGCCAGCGCAATGTGTACAGGATTTGTCTTTGCGGCAAGCAAACGATGTGAGAGTTCACCCTCACCTGCGGTCCACTCACCTCTGGCCCTTCCTGACCACTCCTCTCTCCGCTTCCAACTCCAGCTCCAGCTGTTCCACCGAAACCTGCTGGGAGCTCAGAGAACGGCTCAGCTCCAGCAGCTCCTCCTCCACTGTCGTCTGCCTGCGACCAAGGAAACAGACAGACGGCCCGAATCAGAAAGAGTACAATGTTAACATTTGCGTTTCTGTGAATGGATACTCAACTTAGATATTTTTAATGAGTAGACAGACATTGTCTTTTTTGCGTGCGTGTATGTGCACGTGTGTGTATGTGAATGCATAGTCAAATGTTGAAACATGAGATGTTAATGGATCGTAATAAATGTGATAAATGTCCAGTCTGCGTGCCTGTGAATGTTTACTTGTGCTGGATGGCCTCCAGGGTCAAGTCGTTTAACTGGATTTGGTGAGGATTTAAATTCTCCGTGTTCTCTAAAAGACTGCAGTCGAATTCTGCACAAACAGGAACCTCCACGGCAGACCTGTAAAAACAAACACACACAGACACGCGCGCACGCGCATGAATATCGCTTTTTGCCAGGCTTGTTTGTGTGCCCGCTTTATAGTTGAAAAAAAAATCCCCAGGCAGTACCTGTTCTGTTGGATGAAACTCTCATACTCTGTGAGAGGATCGATGGATGTAATGGCGGTGGACATTTCCCGGTGGATGTGTACCACTTCTCCATGAAGCAAGGAGGAAATGTCAAAATATTCCTGCAGGATCTCCTTTCTGCCATAAAACAAGATTTTTGATGTGCACCGATGTGCACCCCGCCACAATCCACCCCCCCCCCACCAAAAAAAAAAAATTGTCACACACAACAAAATAATCTCTGTGATCTCCAAAACACTTTTATGAAACAAACGTCTCATGTCACCACCGCCAATAACATCAACTCTCATGCTCACCAAATATTCTCTCACTCACCCCCCTAAAAAATAAAATCACTTACATACTCTCACACACTAAAACATCTTCAGTCTTGTCAAAAAATGTCTCATGTTCACAAAAAAAAATCCCTCTCACATAAACATATAACCGTTCGCATTCAATGAAAAACTAACCAAAAACTTACCAAAAATCCTAAATCCTCTCATATTCATACAAAAGCCTACACATACACCAAAAGCATCTTTCTCAAAGTAAAACACCTCACACAATCATGAAATAAACTCACACGCAGTCAAAAATGTATGACACTCACCAAAAAACTCATACTCACAAAAAATCTCTCCCATACAAAAACCTCTCACACTCACCAAAATATCTCTCTCTCTCTCTCTCTCTCTCTCTCTCTCTCTCTCACACACACACACACACACACACACACACACACACAAACTCTCACACTCAAAAAAACCTCTCATAGGAAAATCAAAAGAACCTTACACTTACCCCTACAAAATCTCTCACAAGTATCAAAAACATCTCACACACATCACAAAATCCTCTGACAAAAAGAAAAATACTCTGTCACAGGAGGAAAAAAGATTGCATTTTTGTCTAAATGAGAAAATCATGTGAGAGTTAATGGTGTGTGTGTGAAAAGAAGCTGAAAAGGGCAGCCTAGACTCTCATTTTCAGACTGTGCATTTGCTGCAAACAGGGTAGGAGAGAATGACAAATATCTTACATGATGAGCACCATCTCCTGCTGCAGAGCTTGCAGTGCATTCAGCAGATCCGGCTGGATGAGAGCGTGGTGCTGCTGCTGGTAGACTTGAGCGGCACGCACTGACAGCACATACTCATTGTGCACTTTGTGCAGTTTCATCGTGGCCTTGACGCATCGCTCCTTTGCTCTGTCACGCTCCCTACCTGAAAGCGTACAAATACAGCGGTGCCATGAGATTCATTGCTTTGTTGCTTGCTAGTCTGTCTATGGTATTTCCCATTATGCGATAGCATTAAGCTAAAAGACATGAAGGCAAAGTTATGCCTTCTTTGTTCTATGTTTATTTTGACAGCATACTTCAACTGTGAGTAGCATTAAATAGATTGAACCCTCTTTTTTGAAGAATTGTTCACTACATGCCGAACACTCAACAACAACAAAAATCTTACATACAATGAAAAAAACTCACATACAATACAAAAAAACCTCTCACACTTAACGGGAATATTTCTCACTCACCAAAAAACTGTCACACTCACCAAATTCAAACTCACACGCAAACTCTCTTCGACAAAAACTCATACACGCTAAAAAAAAAAAAAAAAACACAAACAAAACCTCTCTCTCTCTCACCCCCCCACACACACACACAGAAACACACACACACACACACACACACACACACACACACACACACACACACACAGACCTCATACTTCACAAAAATCCTCTCACATTCACCAAAAATACCTCTCACAAAACATCAAAAACACACAGACCAAAATAATTCTCAAACAAATTTAAAAAATATATCAGCCATTCACCCAAAAAAAAACCAAAAAAACTCTCACTCACAAACCTCACACACTCAAAAATAAATCTCATACTTACCCAAAACCTCTCACACATGCCAAATTAGCTCAAACATACACCAAAATACCTCTTACTCAAACCAAGATACCTTTCACATGCACAAAAATTATCACACTCTCAAATACATTTGTTTATATCTTGAAGTCTCTTTTAACAAGAATTGTTCATTTTCGACCAGACTGCTGCTTGTTGTGAACAGATGAGTTCACTACCACCATTAAGTGCTCATATCGAAAACAATCGTCCAAATGACGGCTCGTGTATCAATTTTTTGACACACTGTCAATGTTATGAGAAGCGAAGGCAAAATAAAAGTGTTGACCTTTACTGGCATCCTGGAACTTCCTCTTTGCCTGAGCAGCGTCTCTTGCCACCTGCCTGTAGCTGCACTTCAGCCTGTCCAGCTCTGTTTCAGTGGCCTGCAGCAACCAAACAACATCTTTTAAACACTCAAACACAGCAGGAAAATACATTCACTGACCACGGCATTAAGCACAATACAATGAGATCCAAAACAAGAGTTGTATAAATTTCTGTATGCATGAGAATAACTTAAAATACTCTCCTCTCGAATATACGTAACACAGCATTCGTGAGTTCATGATATGCTTTTATTTTTTTAACCTATCCACTGTTATTTGCTGAAAAAACTTCCGCCATATTAATATAAACTGCACCGCCTGGTTGCAGCTTGCTGCTAAGCAGTTAAACAGGGGAACAAATATGCTTTCAAAAAAGCAAATATGAGGCTTGGTTAACCACTTTGGACAACATTTTGTGTAGCTAAAGTGCGATCGACGTCAACTCCATTTGCCATTTACCATTTTGATCAAATTTGACTTGGAAATTTGGACAATTTTTGGACTATTATGAGGTGATTTTCAACAAAAGTACAATTCAACTATTTGAATGGATTCGGGATTTGGTGGTTAAATGGTCAACAAATATGCAGATGGGGATTCGACCTACGAGTTCAGGCTCTAGTACTGTAGGTCTTAATGCTGAGATTTGAGTGACGCAGTCAGATAAATTAATTGGAATCACTGGTGGATTTAGGAAGAGGTCAGGCAGTATCCGATGAGATCCAACAGGAGGTGCTGTGACAAAAAAGAATTTAGATTGAAAATATTATTATTGTAAATGTATTTTGATATTGTCTGCCTACATGTGTTGCTTCACCGTTTGTGTTCAAATATTTGTTTCTGGAAGGATTTAAACACGGTGAATGTCAAAGCTATTCGTTAGCTTGGTCATGGCCTTTTCTATTATCTGTTCGCATTAAGCAAGGACATTTCTCGGGCAAAGTTATTGTTTGGAATATACAACTTGTAATTCTGTTTGTTGTATGTTCAGTATGAGGAGTAGTAGCATGATTATAAAGCGTGAGTAAAATATTTACTTTTGGTGTACATCTGTTTGGTGTTTATTGTTTTATTGCTGTTGTTGTTGTTTGCCCCGACTTGCAAAAGGCACAGCATGGATAATTCTTTCTTTTTTTCATTCTTTCTTTATTTTTTTAAGGGGGTTAGATGGGCACAAATGATTGTAGTGGCAAAATGGTGAATAACAAATAATGGTCTCGCAAATATGTGGTGTGACCAGGAAAAATAATTGCATTGATCTCTATCATTCCAGCCCCAAGCAAGGCAAAACTGGATTTCCTTTGAGACATTTCATAACAGATCATGAATACAATTTCTTGTCTGTGCTCTTCAGTGCAGTGATGTATGATTGGAGTGCAATAGAAAATCGGGAGCAAAATAAATGGAAGAGTGGGGCAATAAAAAGTATAGTCTCTGTAAGAACTTAGATCCAGAAGTGGTACTGTACCAAAGTGTGTTTTCAGGTATCTGCACTTTATTTTGCTGAAGCTGAAGCAAATAAAGTATGACTTTAAGGCTATCCAGTATGGTATTGGCATTGTTGTGAGGTTTGATTCATCAATAGTGTATTCTGCATTTGAGATCTCCTGATAAGGAAGTGGACCAAAAGTGGAAGTATATTTATGCCTCTCATCTGATGCAGCGACCAATAGCTCGGGTACTCCACTTTGCCATTACGATTTGAGTGAATTTCCTACCATTTATTTTTGTGTGTTAATGCGAATAGGTGAATTTAATGACTGAATAAATATTATGTAAAGTGCTTGAGCGTACTTTTTTTTTTTGCCCATATGTGATGTCAGTGTGCTAGCTAATACATAGCTAAATGTATTTTTTTGTGTTGAATGATTTAACGACTGAATACAGCCATGTTTGTAACATGGGGAAATTATTGTGTACATGCGAGATGCATGGTGTTGATGCTTTGTGATCCCCTTTGTTTTAATTGCTTTGCCATCATCTCGTGGCATCTGTACCCAATAACAAACCCCCTTAAAGGAAAGGCATCAATTATTCACAGATTTTCGAAATTTGCATCACGACTTGTTCCTATTCCTCATCAATAGCATAGATTCACTGGATTGCTGCTCCACCTTACAGCTAATTCATTCAATACAAATCATAAGTATTTGAGAAGATTCATGCAGTTTAAAAGAGGGAGCATACGTGTGATATGACTCAGGAAGCGGGCAACACGGCCGCGGTGGTGAGGCATGAAATGTGAGCGATAAGAGGAAATGCTCAGACCATCTGATACCCATCGGCATGTTCACTCAGTTGCTTTTGCGAGTCTACAAATGTAGTCTGGGTGTACAGTACCAAAGGTGACGCCTTGGAATTAAATCATTCCAATAGCTTCTTTCCCTTTGTCGTCGTCAACTTCTTAAAAAGTTGACTCTTGAGTTCATAGTGACACTTTAACTATCTTGCGTGTCACTGAAGTGCCATTATAAGTGTTGTCATTGTTGTCACTGTGTATCATTTACACAATACAGTTCCATTTCGAAGGCTGCACGATGGGTGACTGGTTAGCACATCCGCCTCACAGTGCAGAGGTCTTCCCGTGCGGACTTTGCATGTTCACCTCGTGCCAGTGTGGGTTTTCTCCAGATAATCCGGTTTCCTCACACATTCCATAAAGATGCACGGCAGGTTAACTGCGCACTCTAAATTGTCCCTAGGTGTGATTGTGAGCGCGAATAGTTGTTCGTCGATGTGTGATTGACTGGCAATCAGTTCAGGGTGTCCCACGCCTACTGCCCAAAGACAGCTGGGAGAGGCTCCAGCACGCCCGTGCCCCTCATGAGGATAAGCGGTTTAGAAAATGGATGGATGGGAGTTCAATTTTGATCGGGATTACCGCATGATTGCACACATTATTGCTAATGGCTCTGCGTATTATACATTTGTGTTTACCCTAAATGTCTATTTTGTTAGTTTTGCTACAGTAGTACAGCAGGGGTACTCAATACAATACCTAAAGTCACAAATCACTGACACATTTTTCAAGGAGTTAAAGGTCTGTTTATCGAAGTCGGTCAGGTCACGTGTGAAGCGAGAGAAAAAGTAATCAAATACAAATTGCTAAGTGAACCAAAACATGGGATAAATAATAAGAATGCAATGAGTCGACTTACAAAAGAATGAACAGTGTTAAGTTTCTGTTAAGCAACATTGACATAGTTCACACATCACTACCCGTAGTATGCTCTTATTCTGAAAGACAAAGCATAGCACTTTCCGGTAGCGAAGTAGCTTACTGATCCATGCTCATAACTAATAACCATCACGCAAAACACTATAATAATGGACTCTGGTTCAACAAGTAATACTGTAATGCGAATGCTAACAAATGAGTTGTGTGTTACTCTCCTTGTAATTAGAGTGACTAACTACCGGAGCCAAATGCCTTGCGTGTTTCGAAAATACGTGGCCAATAATGATGATTTTGATTGGGATTCTGACTCTGATACATGTGTTTGACTTGAGTGTCTGTCATCCACCTTGCTGAGCTCCTGCCTCAGGAGGCTCCACTGCTCTGCGAAGTTTTTGCGGAGCTGCTGTTTGTCTCGGATGAGCAGCGTCAATTTGCTGACGGGTCCGTTTAGCAGCTCTTCAGAACACCTCCTCATCACCTGGCTCAGAAGGTCTGTCTGAGACACCAGAGCCACCCAGGACTGAGGGCAGAAAAGCAAAAGAAGGATTACGAAATTGCCTCAGAAAAGCAAAAGAAGGATTACAAAATTGCATCTACAACAGGGATAGTTTAGAAGGAATTTTGCAACAGATTAGCGACGGTAGCGTAGTTTCTGAGCAGGCTAGATTTTGCAGCATTGCAGCAATTTTACAATGGTGTAGGTGAGAGGTCACTTAAATGGTGCTGAAAATGTCTTGGTGTCATTTACATATCCCAAGAACATGGCATTGTAAACAGGGGTGTGTAACTTCGAGTTTTTGAGATACAAGCTATGTTAATTTGTTGCTTTGACTTATGCACATAGATAGAAGATACAAGGGCTGTATGGTGGCAACAAATCCAACTCAATTTACAACAAGCAGCAATTTGGCAGATAGTGACAATTCTTCAAAAAAAGAGCCTTCACGCTGTTAACTGCCACTCCCGGTTGAATGTTTCTGTCAAACTAAACATAAAACTAAGAATTACACATTATCTATTGAAAACAACTTTGCCTTAGTAATGTCCTGCTAACATAACGTTAACACATGATGAAAAACGCGCATCAATAGTCACAGTACGACCCTTTAAGTTAAGAATATTTAAAACACAAGCAGTGGAGCAACACATTTATACAGACAACTAGAATAGTCACAGGCATATATTCTTCACCAGTTCTGAAAAATGACTATTTTTGCAGCTTAGGCAACTGAGTCCCTGAGTAGAGCATGACTTAGGTTTCTCTACATGACTGTATTTTACTGCAATCCTGATCAATCTTTTCCATTCTACGTAATTCTGGCCTAACTATATTTTTTTGTGCAATATTACAGAGTGCTATATTTCCCAATTGAAAGACACATTACAAATTTTGTGTGGTCTGACCTTGTTGATCTGGCTGATGTGGTCCATTCCAGCTTCAGGCTGAGGCCGCTCCTGCTTGTCCACCATGACGGCCATGTGATGCAGCTGTACCGCAAACTCCCTGTCACTCTTGGCCCTCTGGCCCATCCATTTCTTCATGACCTCCATCATGTGAAGCTCAGAGTCTAGCAGCCTCAGCACAGCTGCATGAGCCTGAGGGCCTCGCAAATCCTCCCCAAAACCCATTTGGAGAATTTTTTTTAAACTCGGATTGTGTCCCGACAAGAGCTTTGTATTCTCCCTGCAAGTGAGACAGAAACAAAGTGGTGTGCTGTTGCAGCAGCTGCATTTGTCAAAGATAGGTTACTTCCCTGCTTCTTGTTCATGTGAAGGAGCACTTCCTCATTCGGCAGGAGTTTTGCTTGCAAGACTCATTTCACTTTTACTTCAGGAACACAGCATCGTTTCAGCTTCAGCGAGCAAGTACATGTGATGGCAAATGCCATAGATGGGCAATTAAATGACATCTGTCACAGTATTATAACCCTTAAAGGAACAGAAAATTTAACAAATAATGGGACTGTTAATATTACGTGGCTTCCTGAGCTTAGTTGTGACATCTCTATGAATTGTATCACTGTATGTCTGTATTATACTGCCCCCAAGTGGCTAAGGCATGCACAACAGGAGGAGCAGCATAATATCCATTGAACTAAAGCAAAAAAAATGTCAAACAAAAACTGTTCGGTTCATTTACATTAGATTTGTCATTACTATTTACTGTTGAAAACTTTACAATAAAAAAGGATTTAAATATGTATTTTTTTCCGAGGCTGCAACGAATTAATGGCATTTCTATTCACTTCAATGGGGAAAGATTTGAGACGCAAACACGACAAGGTAACACTAATTACATTGGAGCATCGTGGCTCAGACTCCAGAAAGTTGGCTGACATGGCCTGGAGAACATATAAATATGAGTTAAACATCCCTTTTTATAGTTTTATTAAGAGCTTGAGATGCTCAAGTCTTTTCATGTGAGCTATTGATGCATAAAACAATGGTTTGCTTTATTGCCCAGCGCAGAGCCACTCTCACTTCATTATTTGGATTTATGACACAGTCGGTGTAAAGCCATCGTCTTAATTAGACCGGCAATACATCAAATAGTCTCACTGGAGTGAGCGAGGTGAATAATGCAGCATGTTGCAAACTGTTTTCAGGGAACAAAGATTTGCCCTTTAGATCATTTTCCTCAAAACATCCGCAGAGCCAATATTTTTCGAATTGTTTTGAACAAAGTCGTTTTTAATGAAATCTCCTTGGTCGAACTACGCTCAAGACACTGAAATGCAGTTGTGAGGTGAAATCAAGCAAAACATCTTGAAATTTGCATAGTTCTTTATTTTAGTAGAATCTATAGCTGACATCAATTAAATAAAAAGAAGAAACCAAGAGCAAACAAATCTTTAAATTACAAGATAATTACACTGCACCATTCATATAGTACAAAAATAGGCCTTATTTAGAGTTTTGTCTCAGATAAGCCAAGTCATCCGTGTTCGGTATCCATCGGTCACATGTTTAAGGTACTGTGTGCAGCCAAGGGGCCGGACAGGGGTCATGTGATGCTGCCCCCTCCCCCCACTCCCCCAGACTCATTTAATGTATACTGACCAGGCATGGGAGCACACGGGCATGCGCACAACAGACTTCAGCCCTTAAGTTTAAGAAGATGGAATACATTCTTGCCCCTTCCTTCACAGCAGCTCAACAATAGAGGGTGTCGCAACAGAGATGGCGCATGATGACCAATCAAACACACACACACACACACACACACACACACACACACACGACAAGGTGAAAAGGACTTGATAGGGGGGGGGGGGGGGGGGGGAAAAAAGTGAAAGAGGGTCGGGTGGGTGGGGGGGGGGGGGGTTGGCAAGTGACGAGCAAAACAACCTAAGACGAGATACTGACCAAATGATTGTCTTTGGTTCTGCCAACATATTGCTCATATTGCTCCTTTTAATTCGAATCGGACACGCCTGACTCCTCAAGCTCCATTTGATTGCAATTACACAAGAGCCTCTATTTCCATATTTACACCTTGAAAGCTCAGAAAAGACAATATAGCACATTAAGCCAAATATTCCAAATCACTTGCATGACATTCTTTGTTTGAGAGTTGTCAGCGAGCGTTTGAAAAGGCTCCTCGTGCGTTTGAGGCAAAGTTTTAAACCCGAGCACTCAAAAGCACCCACTCAAGCAGGCAGACAACTCCTCAAAACGACGTTGCACATCTTACCATTTGCACACGCTCGACCACGACTGCTATTCAATGCATCACCTCACGTTGTAATTCTAAAAGAACTAAAGCAAGCAATTTTGGTGCCGCATTAGCACATTAAGATTTGTAGACGCGTCACATGAGGCCAGAATGACATTTTTAAATTAGTTTCCTACTTAAAGCCCAAACGGCCGTAGGCACAATAATGTAGATCCACAACTAGTCGCGTGCAGCCACATGAGGGACAAACATCCCTGTAATCACATCTGCGTGTGCACATTACCCAAAAAGACTTTCCGAGAGAGCTTCTCGACACAAATGGTTAGGTTTAAAAGGATTCATTTTCTGTGCCTGCCACTTGCTCTCTAAACAGGGAAATTGATTGTCAGCGTCAGAACAAAAAGTCGTAACCTCAAGAGGAACTATCGAGGGAGGATGGGAGTACAAAGAGCACAAACAATGTCTGGTTGGCAATTTCAATTTAACAGACAAGTAAACGCGGCCCAACTGAACAAAAAAAGTCAATCCTTTGACCCATCCTATTTCCAAAACCAGCATTTAAAGCCCTGCCTGTGAATGTTGATCGTAAAGATGACAAATTGACACAGCATCCTAAGCATCAAACGAAATGCAAAGCCTATATTTCAGAATATTTCCAGCTTTGGCACGCGTCGGTGTGTGAAACCATGCTGAGTGATGAGAGGTAGATATAGAGGGGGTGAGCAGCTGTGGTTTTGTATGCATGTCATCACCACCATGACAACCTCTCTCAGCAGTGTTTCGAGTGCCAGATGGGGGAAAAAAAATCAATTCTATGAAGCTAGTGAAAAGAGATCAATTGATTTGGATTCAATCAGGAGATGCATATTTGAAATGCAGCAAGGGAGAAACAAAGACTTAAAAACAACCTTCCCCTCAGGTATAACTATCAAAAAAAATAATAAAATAAGAAGAAAACAACAAAGCAGCATCAGACAGAATCCAGCTACATTGTTGGAGGGGCTCCTAGAAAAGATCCACTTAAATTTGAACTTGATGCAGACATGGTGATGATGTGCAGTTTCAACTCGAGAGAGCAGGAATGTGAAATGGGGAGAGAAATGTCCCCGTACAAGGAAGATGTATGTTTCTCTTTCACAATCAATGACAGAGACAAGTACATTAGTGTCATCGCTGATTTGAGGCATGTGAAATTTGTCTTTGTAGTGCTAATATGCCCGGACCAAGGGAACATATTGGTGTATCGGTAATGAGTCCAATCCTTCTGCTGATGAATCACAAGTAATAGCTACGCAGCTGCTCCAGGGTTGATTAGATACAGGTTGGAAAAATTTGTGGGCCGCATATTTTGTTTCCAACTGAATTCAGACAACTGTGGCTTGCACTGTAGTTGACACATCTGTGAGGAGTTGTAAAAGAAGCCCTTGTCAAACCCGCATAGATGCTAATCGTTGATCGATGCCCCACCCACCACCCCAAATAACAAAACAAACGATTGTACCCCCTCCACCCCCCAAATAACAAAACAACCCCCCCCCCCAATAAAAAATGAACGTGAGGTATTTGGGATGTTGATACTGGCGAGAGACTTAATGTTTCCAAATAGATTTCCTCCCTTCAAAAAATGCAGCAGATTCTATGAAAAACACCTCACTAACTGACGTCGGACAGACTCAACAGTCACGTGCAGGACATGGACACTGGCACGCTCGTGTTCCTCACATCAAAACAATCTCATCCGGCTACTGCACAGAGACTGATAGAAGAGGGAAGGAAGCAAGAAAAGCAAACCAGTAATTGTCTTTTTAGTGGAACAATAGGAACTGGAGAGGAGGGCGGGACGGACACACATTGCGAGTGATCCGAGGGAAAAAGGAGGTGGCAGAAGACACTTGGTCGAAGAGATGTGCGAACACACCCGCCATCCTAACTAAGCTCCCAGTGAGCAGAGACTTCCTGTCAGGTCTCTTACGACGAAGTGCAGGATGATAGGAACCCACTGAAATGGAAGCCGAAGTCAGGATGAAAGATGAAACCAGAGAAGAGCATGATAGCAGACACCCCCGGGCCCTGATTCATTCAACAATTGGTGGTGTGGATTTGGAAAGGAAAAAAAAAAGCAGGGCAGAAAAGGAATGTATTAAAGAGCACTTTGTGTTTTGATAAAGGCAGTTCTCTCGTTTTGGACATCAAACTCTTCGTTTTCCGAGTCCGTGTTGACGCCGTCATCCCCCCACACTGTCGGAATGCCGCGGTATGACACCACCCGATTGCCGCCCAGGCTGAAGCTGCCCGCGATGCCGCCGCCGGCTTCCAGCGACGGGAGCTTGACGAGAGCTCCCGAGCGCAGCTGCAGGAGGAGGAAGATGCCGGCGAAGACGGCCATGATGGCCATGCAGCTGAGAATGGCCACCGTCGCAGGCAGCTGTGAGCTGAGCTGGGGCTGCAACCCGGAGTCCCCCTGACCCACCATGAATCCGCCGGGGGACTCGCGCATGTACTGGGTGATGCGATCGCAGGTGCTCGTGATGGGATTCAGCGATCTGTGAGGAGGGCAGGAGAGGCAGGCCTCTGCGCTGAGCCTGCTGCACGTCAGGCACGGCGGCAGGCACGGCATGCAGGCTGGGATGTAGGCCGGAGCAATGACGTTGCCCACTGTGTAGTTGAGGGGCTGCGAACCCACAGTGAAGCCTGTTGGACAGGCTGTCACACACCTTTGCATGTGGAAGTAGTAGCCGGCATTACATTCTGCAACGCAGAAAAGCACAGAAAAACCAGATCAACAGCAAGCTACAGAGTGACATTTTGAGATGAATCTAGGCTATGTGAGATGGAAAAAGCGAGCTAATACGGTACAGATTGACTTTTACACACATTATCACAGCCTAATAAAAGAAGTGTCAAAATGTCTCTTTCTAAAGTTAATTATGCAGACTTTTTACCAGTGTTGGGAATAATGGCGAGACTAACGGCGTTCATTTTTCAGGAGCAAAGTAGAATAATAACTTTACCGATCGGCACAATGCCGTTGCCGTGACTGATGCAAAATATGTCAGCCTTTCTGCCATGTTTAGCGATTCCTTTGATTATTACAGTCAACGGTTAACAAAATCATTGCCTAAAATAAAGCTGAGCCATAAAGCCCAGTTTACTGTGCAATAATATACAAATAGAGATAGCAAAACTCATGGCCAGATTCGTTTTCTTTTTACATTAAGCTTACACTTGTGTCTTAGTTTTGCACTTAAATGTTCAGTGTGCAAATATTATTTTCAATATTTATTTTTTTATCTATACATGTGGCTAGTTGCAATCTGTTGACTTTGAATACCAAAAACGCACTGATAAAGGTCATATGCTTAAAACGCAGGAATGATGAAAAAAATCTAATCAAACAGATAAATGCAAAGAAAACCAAAATGTGATCATATTCAAAGAAAACAGCTGCAAGTAAGAAACGCTTCAATCACAAAAACAAAATGTGCCTTTTCCTATTTTTGCCATTTTCTACCCCTGGGTGTCAGTAATGCTGAAGGAATGGACTTCAATGAGCCCATGACATGAAATGTGAGGGCGAAAATCGTAAAAAAACAACTATGAATTTCGTTTTGATACGTTGCAAAATATCCAGTTCTTTCCATAATTTGAAAGGAAGTATCCCTTCATCCCTCAATGACCCGATGGATTGTACCACAAATGTTAAAGAAAGGTGTTAAAAAGGTTAAGAGCCGCTTAGGAGATAACATTTTTTCCCGGCAAGGTTGTGTCACGTGCTCAAATCAAAGGTGCTGATTGGACAAAGAGGAGGTCCGAATTCTGCGATGGAATGTTAAGGCTCAAGTACCTGGATGTTCGACATGCGAACTGAATTTGCGCTTTGAAAATTTTAAATTTTCCTTGTAAAACTGAATGAGAAATTTCAAGCAACCCGAATTTGTAATCGTAAAACTATGTGAAAAAATATACAGAACTTAATTTTCAGTGAGGAATTCAAATTGTACAATTGAGATTTAGACTTTCAGAGTAAAGATTCTAATTAAACAACGCAAATTCTGTTGCTGTAATTCAGATTCAGTTTTTCAATACACTTATTCAAGTTTAGCGATTCAAATTCAAATACAAAACATTCCGATTCGGTTTCTGGAGGCCAACATCTTAACCCATAAATAACCCTGTGAATGGCTTTGGGCCCGCTGTCATTATTTCACTTCCCATGTCTGCCTGTAGGGGCCACACTGTCACTGTGTCAAATGATCTTGTTTTCAGTTGGAGTATTTGGATTAGCTATGAGACAGCAATATGGACTTGATTAGAATAATCTGATGAACTGCTTGAAGCTATCAACAATAGTTTGTGGCTGTGGTCATAACTTCTTCATCTGCCTGGGGCGGGGTGGCTCCTTACGGTTCTGTCGGTTCTCAGCCATGTCATGTACATGAATCATCTTTTCAGAGTACAACGGCTTTTACAACATGGGACAGGGGGTGTGTGATGGCTAAGGAATGGCAGTCAGAGAGTGTGCTTGGGTGGAAGAGATTCTGGGGTTGGGAAACGACCGCTCTACCATGCCGCCCCGAATGATATTTTTCAAGTGTGAAAGATGTTTTCTTCGTATAGTGTTGAAGACAAGCGTGTGAAAATAATGTACTGTTGTTTTTACGCGATGCATAAAGCTGAGCTAAACCAACAAGTTTCATCTTCGCCCCACAACACCAGACACACTTTTCACACTCGCAGTCTTCATATAGCACTGGGAAGAGACACCGTCTTACCAAGGCATCTCTGTTTGAGGTCCATCATCTTGCAGTTGCTGCTTCCAGCCTGAGAATCATCAGGGGAGCCGGTGCCATACAGCACCAGAGTGAACTGGGTTAGAGTGCCTGAGAAGAGAGATGAGCCAACTGATAGTTATTTTTTATATATTATATATATATTTTTTATAAAGCTTTCAGGAAAAGAAAAAAAAGTGTTCATGGAAAAAAAAAAGTAGGCCTGTCATTCAGAGAAGCTTAAGCTCCCGAGGGTAGATTTTGTTGAAGCATATTCTTTAGAAGACTCTCAGATCTTTGCCACGAAGTGACAGAAAATGACACTTTGAAAAGAGCAGCGATTTTAAGACGACCGGATGTCCCTTTGTGTCTAATAACTGTGAGTGCAAAAGAAGTGTGTGTGTGTGTGTGTGTGTGTGTGTTGACTGCAAGTTTTCTGACTGAGGGGACAGAGCGGACAAATCTCAAATTTACTCTCTTTCCCATTTTTTAAGCTTTAACTGCAGCGTATCCCTCATGGTATCCGTCAGATGGTTAAGTGAAGTTTCACGACCGACAATATTTGGTAAGAAACATCATCATTCTTGCAGGACATGCTGTTTTTGTTTTATGTTGAGATTTCAAGTACTGTTATAAACACGCAAAATGTGAACAATACCAAGAAAACACAAACATGGCGTCACATCTTGCAAAGAGGCTTTACCGTAGTCACTGGCCCCCGCTACATTCTCAATCTCCAGCGTCCACTTCCCAGAGGGGTTCTCATCCCAGGAGTGGGTGGTCATGAAAGCCCAGTCATTAAAACCCTCTGATGAGTAGTCATGAGGCCTGGAGGGAAATCATCACGGGTGTGTTAACAGATTGAACTGACCAGTTTGTGTCAGTGTGTACGTGCAAGGGTTTTGTTTGTACCTGGGGTGGAGCAATGTGGAACGCGTGCCAGCAGGACTAATGAGGTGGATAGCCAGGTTGCCCCTCCGGTTGTACGACAGGGTGAGCCGAGCTTGGACGTGCTCCAGTGAGGTCACGTGATTGTCGCTTCCAAAGCAGGCATCCACACTCTTGTTAACTGATAAATGGCCGCCAATGTTCCTGTCAAAAGATGCCAAATGAAGTCAGAGGTGTGTCATTTGAAGTAAGTAGAGTGTGCCATCAGAACCATGACCGGAGCTGCCAACTGTTACGGGATTGTCTGTATTTTGTTATGGAAAACACTGAACGCTAACTCGTTACACACGTGCAATATCGTAATTGTTACACACACACACACACACACACACACACACACACACACACACACACACACACACACACACACACACACACACACGTTATTAGTCCCATGGTAGTGGTCATACATTAGCAGCTGTGCATTAGAGGCTTCCCCTTAATTCCTCACCAGCGTGATAGTCTGCAAGGGGCAAAGAGTTTTCAGCCTTGATGAGGATTTGAGTTTGACCACCTGTGACCGTGTACAGTACTCTGTAAAAAGTAATGTACCAGTACTTTTTTTTTTCGGGATTGTACTTGGTCACTCTTTAAATTAGTTACATCAAGTACCCATTTCCACATAACGTCTTCGTATCTGAGGACTTCGATATATCAGAAGATGCAAAGGTAGATAGATAAAGATACATCGTGCATCACGTGTGGGATGCTGTACAAAGACGACATCTTACCTTTAACCTTTTTACTGAATATTACTAATTTCTCTTGCAATTGTATGCATCTATTGCAGAAAACATTATTTCATTTTTACATTTTGATAATACTGATTATGTGGCGTCATATGTTAGGAAAACTGCATACTGTAAACTGTCTGATGTACATTCTGTTGTTCTCATTTTGACAGATTGCAACAGAGAGACGCCGAATCCCTAATTGCTCCCCTTGGTTCAAGTCAGTCTGGATGAGGCTATCCCTTGAATGAATTCGACTGCCCTGATTGCTGCTCCCAGATGCTTAAACCGTCTGCTCGGAACAGCCCAAAGCTGTGGATGCTCACACCCACACAGCCAAACTGCAACAAGTGCATAATAACTGCATGAGATGTCAGACTGTTTAAAGTACTGTATATAAAATAGCCATAGGAAAAAAAAAATACATCAGTTTTGTTTTCTGCCTCTCAGTAGAACTTTTGTTAACTTGTTTGGAAAGTTAAGTTTGACAGACAGTGCTGCGGTGGACAAAAACAAGCAAGTGATGCTTGGCTGATCGGACCTTCTGTCGTTTGTCTGCCACTCAATTCAAACTAACACTGCTTAAAAGATGCAAATTTAGGATGTAATCTGTTCTAAATAGTTGAAGATCGGGAGGATTATCATTGGCTTTGAAATACAGTGAGCAGCATTTCCTTCCTCTCTCTCCTGAGGAAAGAAATTTCATCTGTGCTGCATGTAGCACATTTGACATGAACATGGACATGAACATGAACAGTGTGTGTTGCACAAACTTTGGCTCGTCGACCATGGTGATCACACATATTCGTTGTGGTCCCACGCTGGTCCATGTCTTTGCCAGTGCTACCATTGCACTGGCATCAAGTAGACCGTATCCGTAGGAATGGCTGACTGCAGGAAATGAGAGAGAAGAGATGAGATGGAAATGAAAGCTGGCCTTCCGAACAAAAACACCTCAAGTCAAGCTCCGGAACACGTGCCACTTCAAGAAATTGAATTCTTTGTTCATAACCTCGGCCCTGCTTCTCTTTATTTCAATTTAGCTTCAGAAATGGATGTAGAATAATACGGACGTAGCGACAGTGAACTTGAGTGATGTACCTTTGCGTCCAACCCCGTTGGTGTTCCAGTCGTTGGTGGCCAGGTGGGCAGGACGAGAAGTTCGCACAACCAGATGTTGCATGTCCCTCCAGGTCAAATTTTCACTGGAACAAAATGCAAGCACATGTGTACACGCGCACGCACACCCCCACCCCCACATGCATAGTAAGGTTGACATTCTCAACTCAGTTTCAAGCCAGATGACTGAAGATTGTTGGACATTGTGGACAACTACTGTCTGCAATCATCATAGAAGCATCGATAAGTTCCTGTGACTCGTCAATGTGCTCAAAATGGCAAGTTCAGCAGAAAAAAAAAACTGCCAGGTGCGCAGTACAGTGTATATTTAGATCAGTGGACACAAGGACATTTTTAGCGTATGAATCTTAGGACAAAGCTGCCGGCGATGTGAGAATTTGAAAATGGTTGTTTAGCCCTTACTTTGCCTCAAGAGCCAGAGCGATGATCCCAGCGGCCAGTGGTGCAGAGGCAGAGGTCCCTGTGTGGGAGTCTGTGCATTCAGCCTTCAGATCTGTTGTGATCTGAAAAAGAAAAATAATTACATTAGCCTACATAAGCCTGCTAGGACGAAAAGGATAATTCTTTTGACGTGCTAATTGCCACGTATTATCTTATTATCATGGAAGTGCATCTGCTGGAAGTGAACACTGTTGAAATATTAAAGATGTGGAAAACAAGGATCCGCTGTCCCTTTTCTTCTACCCATGTGCCTTTTTCGATTAACCCTTTGCAGAATACCGACTTCATGTTCAACGGCAGAGGGTTTACACAAGGCAGCTTTGGGTGTGATTTACAAAATGTGCAGTAATATGAAGCAATGGGCAAGCAATCTCAGAAAGGATACAGGTCAGGAAACTAAAATGAGGGAAGCTCCAAGCCAATTACACACATCAAGCGACGTAGCCCGATGTGACTAAACTAAACAATCTCAATGAACGGTCGGCGAATCACACCCGTGTGCACAATTGACCCTCGCAGTTAACAGGTTTTCCTGTTGCAGCAACAACCGCCCACCCAGAGAATGTGACTGTCAGAGTGTAGACTGAAATGATTCTCTGTTTGTGATATGAATGTTCAGCAGCAGCTTGCCTGGAGGATTTACTCATTCATGATCACATCATTGGGCTGAAAGTGAATTAATAGATGAAACAAAAAGAGGGCAGATCAGGAAGATGACCAGGGAGTCATACAGCTGCAGCCCCAAGACCATGCATTTCAAGTTAATCAATAACCAATTATTGTGCAACAACTGCACTGCGATAATGTTTCTCATCGTGCACAGATATTGAGATGTAAGGATAAGACACAAAGAAGACATTCTGAGCAGTCATTCAAATGTGGAATCACACACTGTATACTTGATGGGGGGAAAAAACGAATGGGTTCTTCACTTCATTTGTTGCATTTAGTCCCATTTTGGCAATCTTGACACCACAGCTGTTGCTGCTTCAAAGGTTCTGTTCATGTTCCTTCTGCTGCAACACATGCCGCCATTAATAATCACTGAGTGAATGTTTGAATGAGGTGACATTGCAAATAATACAAGTGCTTAAAGGTGGAAAAGCACTTGATAAATGAAGCCCTTAACCATTTAAAAACCAAGCACATTGCACATTACGCAGTCTACCTTGAATATTAGGGAAATGAAATGCGTTTCGAGATCTATAAATGAGAGCGTAGCACATAGATTGTGAGATTGTTTGCGCGTTTCACATGATCATCCCGTTGACTATGAATTTAACGACGAATGGCAGCACCTGTGATTTGATTTATCTGACCCTAGATTTTGAAAGCCAAGAGTTTTTGCAGAGTCTAGGAAAGGGGGTGAGAAAACATACTATTTGCTTCTCGTTGATGTTGCCCGAGCTGTAGGTGGTTGCGAGGGTTGAAGAGCAAGCCTCGCTGTACCAGGGGATGAGGCCATTCTGTGTGGAGCTGCTGATGGATAAGGTGTAGATACTGTTGGTGTAGCCGTCACAGTTACAGCTGTCCTTATCTCTCCCGCCATTGCCGGATGCCCACACAAAGATCGAGCCCAAACCGCCACGGCCCTGAAGATTGGAGAAGACATATAGAGAGAAGCATAAGTCTTTCTTTGACAATCAACAAAAAGGTAGAAATTCCATCAAATCATTGCCTATTTAAAATGAAGATGTTAAGGAGGTCATTTCGGAAAATTAAAAGCAGGTAAAAATCAGACGACAAGCAGGACTGACCAGTTACAGTAATATACCATCCAAACTCTGAGTGCTTGAAGTGCAATCATTCATCTTTATTGTATTGAGTGGCACCGTTTCTGTGCATTGATCCGACGTGTACATGCGCCACCCCCTGCCAACTGAGAGTGCAGTCACTGCAGCAATCACCAAAGTAGTCTGTCAGCAGCAGTCCCAAATCAGTTTTATGGCACATGCCTCGAATCCCACAGTTCATAACGAGGCTGTGGATAGTTGCTTGACTGTATTTATGCATGGCGTGCATATGTGAGAGCCTCGGGCGGGATCTGTTGTTGGCTTATCAATCTCTTTTTACACATAACAATCCAATGCAGTAAAACAAGAGGGGCTACCAAGTACAGGCCTGTTTACAAGCCATAGAGGACCAACTGCAAATCTAAAGTCTTGATTTGTTGCTTCAGGTGGGAAGACGAAACAAATTGGATCTTTAAAGACTAGATCCAACACAGAATATCCATTTGTTTCACAGCAATATTTTGAAGATCCCCCATTTTTTGTTCTTTTATCACATTTTTTAAATAATGTTTCATGTCTTTTTATCAGGTTTGCCAAGAGCAAGACACCTATTTCCCTCCCTCGGTGTTAAAGCCACCTACATGGCGACACTGCATGACCTAGCAACCTAGCAGCCACCAAAAGGGGACTCGATGTGTGTGTGAGTGACTTAAAACTAGCAGATGTACTTGTAGCGCGTGTGAATGTTTAGGAAGTCATCCTTCATGAAATGTCACCAAAAACAGCACACTGCTGGTTCCGAAATGCCAAGTTGTTGCTCCTGTGAGACTGGCAGCTGATGCAAAGTTTTAGAAGCTGTAACTTGTCACCGGCTGTCATTTTTTTCCTGAGTTGAGTGGGCATGTCGCAACCGCAAAAATGGGTACGTGCTTAAATAATGCATCACGATTCTACATCACAACAGCGGCAAATAAAAATCTGAGCGTTTTGCAAGCCTTGGCTTTTATCGGCTATTGCTTCCAATCCACAAATTGAATCAGATTCATTTTGACATGTTATGCATAAAACGGTGGGGGGAAAAAAGAATGGTAATGCAAGGGCACCTTTATGTCAATATGCACTTGCTATGAGAGTTTTGAGGTAAAAAGGAATTAAGCTTCAATCAATAAGTTTAAAATAAACTTTCATGCAACATTTCCTCATCAAACCACATTTAATTTCCTTCACTTCAGATTTAATTTTCATAATTTTCCTGACTGGTGGCTTTCAGAGCACATTCCCTTCCATTCATAAATTGTCAGGGTCAAATACAACTTTGTTCCTTGCGCTTTTGTCCTCTCATGCTTGAACAGTTCTATTAGACCGTTGAAAGGAAGCCACACACAAGCAGTAAATTATTTCTCTCAGACAAATGACAACCCCCGCACCGACTCACCCACCCACAAATACACACCTCAGTAACTCCACGCAGAAAGGCCTCTTTGGCGAGTTTCGCAGGCCCATCCACAGTTTTGCCATCGTCCTCTGGGCCCCAGCTAGCGCTGTAGATGTGAATGTGTTGGGGGTTCAGGCTGAGAGACTGGGCCTCCACCATGTCTGTCACCTCACCATCCAGCATGCGCACACCTGCATTCGTGTTAACATACACAAGTACAACATGCTTACCTTGGAACTTTGTTATGCTCGCGTTTACGAACATTATTTTAGGTAATGCGATGTCACTGCAAGGCTGAGCTCTGCAGCACAGATAATTCTAATGAGCTATTTTAATTTAATCATTTGAATTGCAACGACAAGATTGTAGTGAAACACTGTAGATATACAAGAGACAGAAGATTAAGATTCGCTAATCATGTTAAACTTATACTCAATTAAATACACTACATTTAATGTGAAAACTAATACACTTTATTGTTTTTAGCTGCAACACGTTCCCAAAAAAAGCTGGGACCGATCCTTGTGAAGACACGACCATCATGCTTCTTCTAGATAGCAAACAAAATGTCAAGAAAAGCCTACTTGGATCACGGAACTTTAAAGGGGACTTTAAACTGTCAAAAAAAGCCTACTTGAACAGCAGAACTTTAGAGGGACTGTAAAATAGTAGCACGGGTGTGCCTATACCCATTTAATGAGTTTGAATGATTTGTTGCTCTTGAACACAGCCACTTCCCAGGTTACAAGCGGGTGTGTGCACTTGCGCAACCACATTCTCAGTTGTTTAATTATCCTTGTAAAAAAAACCCATCAATAAATGTTTGAATGAACATGCATGGTGGAAAAAGTTAACAGTCTTAGTTTGATTTTTACATCACAAAAACTTGACATTTGAATCGGGGGGCGGGGGTTGACTTTAGATCCACTGTTTGGAGAAGGTAATGTCCTTTTAACTGTGGCAGTGGTTTAATTTTGTTGTGTTTTATGTTTCGATTGTGCGACCCAATGACTCCATTGTACTTCCTCTATTAGGCGAGGTGTAACTCAAAGGCACACACAGCCCTACTACTATGGTGTTGCTTATTTGCATAATTCGAGTGCAGTTCATTGTGTGCCTTTTGGTGTGTGTGCCATGTGAGCAGGCTGTCAGCTCGCAACAGATTATTTGTGGATCCTAATGTTGAGATGGCCTCACCCTCAACACTAAGGACAAATTCATTGCTGCTGTGCTCAAAATGGTTCAGAAAGATGCATTGGAGCTGAAACTCAATTTCAGAATATTCGAACAGAAAGATGAAAGGACTCATCACGAGGACTTCGAAATGAAAGTGCTTCAACTGAAACATGAATAAATGAGACACAAAAACATTTTGATAAGAATTACAGAAAGTAAATCGGGCAGAAATGCACATGGATCAAATAAGCATAGATCAAACAAATGATTGTAGATAAGGAATGCAAAAAATGACTCGTGTGTCCAAAGTGCTTATATGTCCATGTTTACATCCATCTCCTACATCTTATTTTTTGTATCAGTGATATTCCAAATTAACTATTAGTCGTAGGAAATGCAAGACAATTCCAAAACAAATTTGGCATATTCTCTCCTTGACAAAATGCTGCTCTCTTCCGAAGAAGCAAGGGCCATCACTGTGACATACTGCAAAAGCATCAAACGGATCTTTGAAGCATTTCTGTGGTTGCGTCAACTTCTGTGCAAATGTTTTAGAATGCACAAAGTAGCTTCAAATTATCCCCAGACCCCCAAAAATGTCAGAAATAAGCCATTGCGGTTCCATGTACGCGTGTCTACACACTTTTTTGAAGAAATTATGTCAAATTACTATTCCAGCTTTTTAAAATTTTCTTTCTGGGGAACATTATTTGTCTATTATTAGACTTTAAAACTTTTTGGACAGTGTATGCATTCATCAGTTTAATGTTCAGTGAATGCGTGGCATGCCACTGTAGCCTGTGCCAGGACAAATTTCATACTTGGACCCCAAACTTGGCAATAATATGTTAGATTCTAAAAATGGGTTTATTGTGAAACATTTTTATTGAGCTAGGAATGCATTCTTCAGTGCCAAGAACAACTTTGAAAGTTAAGAGGGGATAGAAGTCCGCTGAGACTGTAGTTTCTCTCATTTGACTTAAGAGTCTGGGAGGTTAAATGACTGGCAAAAGTGAACACGTACATGTATGCGTTTTGTTTCAACTAATCCTAACTCGGCTGTTCAAAACGCGACTTCGCAGCTGATACACTTGTGAAGGCTCCTCCACTTATGAGGCCACACACAGCGCACCTTTTTATCTTAATGAGAGTGTATGTGATATTCCCGCAAGGCACCTCGAATGATCATAAAGATGAGCTGGATGTCGTTCTTCAATGAAGGGTCCAAATTTGACATGATGGCTGAAAGTGGCATGCAGGACAGATCAGCAGAGATGAAATGACAGACCAAGCACGGGCATATAAGCAACGCCCTGTAAGCTACAATTGAAGATATCCTATAAACACATGCATTAGAGGCGGCTGACTAATTTATTACGAGTAAACTATCCTAACATGGTTCTATTTTTGATTTATGCTGAAAAAGGGGGGGACATCCTATCAAGAAATCAGGTATAAGGAAAATAACACTGAAGAAGGCTGCAAAAACCTATTTAGAACCAATGCATATGAAAAGTCGCTGCCGCTTTATGCATCTTACAAATTTATGTAAAACCAAGTTAACAGTCTGAAATTAATTTCCAGACAACAGTGAACTGCTACTTAAGATGAATGATCATGCCACCGACCCATTTTAGCGTCATGAAATCCACAGAAAAATTGTAATCATTGATAAAAGCAATGACTACACGTTTGTGTCTTTGTGTCTGGCACCACTCACCACCAGTGCATGCATCAATTATATTGCCTGTTTCAAGCAGCCGGGCCATGTTCTCGTCGTGGTTGTGTTGTAGACATCAGAGCAGAGCATTAGCAACTTTGTATAAATGTGTTTTCTGTTGACTAGACGTCACCCTAGTCTGTGATGTGGCATCAAAATAACCAAAGCCCTTCTGTTGGTAGTTAGAACTCTCCAAAGTCCTTCTGTTGTGAGTTAGAGACAACGGCGGCACTGCCATGTCTGTTCACATCAAGTGACAATTATTTCATATTTTGTTTTAGATCAGACATCTGTACAATATTTCCACGATTTGATGACCCAGTGTCATTAAAATATATCCAAACTAGCTGTGGGGAATTGCTGAATAACTCAGGGTAGAATATCATCGTTGACATTTTGCCTACAGCAACTGGAAGTCGAAAACATTTGACATCACAATAGCTGTGAACGTAGAAGACAATGCTTCAGTCTTCACAGCAAACAAACAAACAAAAAAAAAGGAAACATTTAATACAACAATGCACTCAATTATTTTAAAATCATTTGCAAAAATGTACTTTAGGGGAAATGCCAGGTAAGCCTTGAGTTATGTTTCAGCTTTTACAACAGTTTAACAATAGATGCAAAGTTAATTTCATGAATATTCATTTTGGTTGACAAAACAAGGCTTTGGTAGGTTATACTGTATTGAAATCCACATAAAGCAGTTTAACCGGGAATTTAATCATCTGATTTTGATTTGGATCCATTCATCGAGGGAATATTTACACAAAATTATGATAATGTACGGTGGCCGACAGGGGCAAACCCGCTCCAAACAAAAATCATAAACACATAAATGCAAAAAAATCCAAACACAAACCAGAAAAAACGCTGCAATCACAGCAACAAAGTGGAAACAAACATTAAACACTCCAAAACAAATGCAAAAACAAAACACCCCCCCCCAAAAAGAACATTGGTCCAGCAGTGCCCCCTAGTGGCCTGGCAAACTTCCATTTAGTAGCGTGAACTTGCATAATTTTTTTCTTGCCATCGTTTTTTGAGTATTGGATTTCCTCAGCTTTTTTTTTTTGCATTCGTTTTGTGGATTGTAATGCTTGCTTCCACTTTGTTACTCTGATTGCAGCATTTCTTTCTTGTTTGTGCATTCCTGCATTTATGTGTTTCTTTTTTGTTTGCGTCATTCCTGTGTTTGCAGTGTTTGGCCGTTTGCGGCATTTTTTACTTCCAGCGTTTTTGTTTTGCAGTTGTTTTGTGTGCGTTTTTTATTTGCATGTGGTTCTTTGTTTTTTTGTTTTTTTTTGGCAGAACCCCTGTTTGCGGCGCGCTTGCCCCTGTCGGCCACTGTAATCATTAGTCCGCTGAAACATATTTACACAAAATTATGATAATGTACGGTGGCCGACAGGGGCAAACCCGCTCCAAACAAAAATCATAAACACATAAATGCAAAAAAATCCAAACACAAACCAGAAAAAACGCTGCAATCACAGCAACAAAGTGGAAACAAACATTAAACACTCCAAAACAAATGCAAAAACAAAACACCCCCCCCCAAAAAGAACATTGGTCCAGCAGTGCCCCCTAGTGGCCTGGCAAACTTCCATTTAGTAGCGTGAACTTGCATAATTTTTTTCTTGCCATCGTTTTTTGAGTATTGGATTTCCTCAGCTTTTTTTTTTTGCATTCGTTTTGTGGATTGTAATGCTTGCTTCCACTTTGTTACTCTGATTGCAGCATTTCTTTCTTGTTTGTGCATTCCTGCATTTATGTGTTTCTTTTTTGTTTGCGTCATTCCTGTGTTTGCAGTGTTTGGCCGTTTGCGGCATTTTTTACTTCCAGCGTTTTTGTTTTGCAGTTGTTTTGTGTGCGTTTTTTATTTGCATGTGGTTCTTTGTTTTTTTGTTTTTTTTTGGCAGAACCCCTGTTTGCGGCGCGCTTGCCCCTGTCGGCCACTGTAATCATTAGTCCGCTGAAACCATTACGTTCATCAAACAAGGTGGTCAGTACTTGCTTAAGTTTATCACAGGCAAGTACTGATGACTGGCTCCACAGAACATACCTCCAATCTTGGCATTGTAAGCCACACCGACTCCACAGATGCCATTGTTGGCTACTGCCGCTACCTCTCCTGCACAGCGTGTTCCATGCCTAAAAAAAAAATAATAAAAAATATGGTTGAATAGAAGAAACATGTTAAAAAAAAGACTATTTTCACGTATCATTCAACTAAAATTATAGCATTTTATTGTAAAGTGTGCATGAGTATTCCTCCCGCACCTTGGCGCAGCCCTGTTGGTTGTGTTTCCTCTCGTGATCTGAACCCAGCATTATGTCTATATGCTTGTAAGTTTAGTTTTGTGCGTGCGTGCGTGGGTGTGATCTTAGAGAGGGTGTATGAAAAATTTTCTATCAATAAAGTTTTGATTGACTGATTACTTGCTTGTTTGGGAGATTTATAGGGCCGAGTAATGCACTCAGCTAATAATGTTGCTTGTGTGAGTCTGCTCCATTTAAGAAATATGGCAAAAGGGGTACACTGAGACAAAACAAACGCATGAGGAAAAATTCTTGGCTTTGATTTCTTCAAACAAACCTATATTCCTATTTTTCAAAAAAAAACAAGACGAAAACATTAAACCACTGACTGCATGCACTATACATTTACAACCCACCAGAAATGTTAACCTTGGAGCGTGTGTGAGCACAAAATCAGTCAAAGGCAGGATAAAAACATCTCCTGTGCATGTGAGATGGATTTCTGTGAATACCATTTCCCATTTTAACACACCGCGTCCTTCATTATTCCCAAGCCTCTGTTGTGATATATTTCGCTCGAGGCCCTGCAATGTTCCGAGGTCCAACAGACTGGCTGATCAGCACATTCCAGTCAGGTGCATTCCCTAAATGACGGCCAGATGGACACATATTCCAAATGCCCTTCAAAATATCACAGACGCCTGTTGCCGTTTAATCAGCCCAAAACAGACAGACCAAGTCGATGTGCCAAATCAAGCAGGACAAAAGGGAAACTGTACAAGCAAAATGTCATCCAGACACATTAGGCCAACTTGATGACTTGACACAAATCATAAAGAGTGCAGCATTTCAGGTTAAAATGATCACAAACCCTAACATTTATTTTAGACTATTTGAATGTTTTATTTGTGTTATGCGAGCGAAGGGAGCGGATGTCCGCCATTTTCAGTCACAGGCAATTACTTTTGCTACATAGCGGGAGGAATGCAGGATGGTAACACACACAAAGTACAAAAAAAAAAAGACAAAAGTAAACCCACACACATCATCTTGGCAATTTCCCAGAACATTTTATCTTAAGCACTTCCTGAAATCCATTCTGTCAGGGCACTGCTGCAGTTGTGCAGCATACATGCTTGGGATGTAGCTGATGAAAAGCAGATAAATGATAACCATTCAAGCAAACCTTTTCAAACTCAGCTTTTGACACATTCATTACAGACATGGACATGATAGATGGTTTCATGGAATACAAATGCTATCAGAGAGATAGATTCATTTCTTGGTTTAGGAATCTGATTAAGAAAAGACAAGAACTACTTTCTCCAGATTTGCATACAGTACCAGTATGCACAACATTAAAACACCACTGATCTGTCAAAGGAACCAATCACATAGTCACATTGTTTTATTTCAGGATAACCACAAGGCCACTTGCTTAGTACTGTACCAAGCTTCCATGAAGGCACATTTCATATAAAACGTTTCAGGTTCTCCTTTGGTATGGACACTGTTTGATTTAAAAGATGAATAAATATAACATCCTTAGTTGTTGTCTATATCAGTGTACCTTCGGGGCATGTGAGCACATTGCGGGGACACACATGGGAACATTTCATAATTTCCTAATTCAATAAAATATGGCACAGCCAAACCAAAATCTGCATGGCAATGCGTCTCCATTATGCTCAGATGACTGTTAAAAAGGAAGCAAATCTGCTACAGCGGCTCTGAATTATTTTTGTTCCATGTTTTGTTCCTGATATTTAAAGTTGAAATGCCTGTTAATAATAGTGTCCCTTTTATTCAAAGGTGTGCCCTTATTTTGTGGTAATTGATGCAAGAGTTACATACAATAAAGCCAAGTTTGATCTTTATTTTGATTCTTTTTTTTTAACTCCTTCATTTTGAAGACAACATATTTTCATGTTTAATTAGAATTAATGAGAAGACGATGCTCAAGAATGAAGTTTACATTTAGCAAACAAAATTTAAAAGATTTTCATGTAATAATCAGCATTTAACGTACCAACAGGGTCAACTGTGAAACATGGTTTGCATTTGTCTGCATAATCTTCACGATGTCAGTTTTGCAAAATACGTTTCTGATCATTTCTATCTTGTGGAGCATTAACTGCACAGAATGTCACAAAACTCATATTGAAATGGCACAACTGATATCTGTAGCGGGATGTAGTCAGATAACCATAAATGAATGAGCTACTTATATGAAAACAACCATTGAAATCTGAGCGAGCCATTCCGGTGTGCTTGTATACCACAAATACAGGCCGCCAAAATACAGAAATCTGCTATTTGTCAAATCTGTACAGGAGCTCTTTTTTCATCTTTTGCATTGGGTGATGAATGCGTATCCAACTGAAAAAGTGGCATTAATTAAGAGATTGCGACTAACACAGAAATCATGTTTTGATGATAGCAAGAAGCCCATGGCAAGGTCGAATTAGTGATACAAACTTGCATCACATCGCAGTCTTCATCTCCGCAACTGACAAGACCAACATCACTGCACAATCCGCAGATTTGCTTGGGAAAGGCTCCTGTCATCCAAATGTATTCAAAACTGGTTGTAGATAAACTACTGAGAAAAGACATTGTTTGCGGACAAATGTGCAGCTGTAAGAGAACATGTCAGAAGTGCTGGACGATAATTTGGTCACCCGGTGGGCTCCACAACATTCAGCAACATTCATAAAAAGTTGGATTGCTGGTTTCCAGTTTAAACACTAAGACTACTGCATTGTTTTTATTGTGATATAAATTAAGGTAAGTTTGAAAAAAAAATGAACATCTGTTTTATTGAAAAAAGCTTTTCAAAAAGTTATTTGCTGTCATTAAATATCAAAATGAAAAAAACACCAAAAAGCCAGCAAAATCTCACATTTTTACTTGACTATAAAATGACACTGAAATGTATTTTGTGAATAAAGACAAGTAGCATCTGAGTGTACTAGAACTAGTCTTGTACTAACTCTTAAAATAACCCTTATTAATCCAAACACCTCAGAGGGAGTGACAATTCACCTTGCTCGTAAGTGTTTTTTGCTGCTATCCTCAAAATCCTGTCGACCGACATGCTCAAGACCGACTTCAGCAAAGGCTTCCTCATGGAAAAAATGGAACTGAACACAAACACCAATATCACCGACTTTCATGACATCATCTTTCTTGGAATGTTTCACCCACGCATCATATTTTATGCTCACTTTCAAGCACAGTAAAAGCTCTATTAGCAGCGAGTTAACGAGGATGTACGTGATGGGTGCCAACATGTATGGGCTTGTGACTGGCTTCACCGCTGCTGTAAAATGGAAATGCACCTTTTTTTCTGAACTGAAACCTGTACTTACAAGCAGTTGCAGGCAAAAAGGTGGTTGATTTTTCAAGGTTAGTAAATGCAACATTGAACGATGTTGGGATAGCTGCTGGCATGGCTCTATTTTTGTCTCAAAGGCGCTTGTCTGCATTTGTGTTTAAACTTGTCATGTCTTGTCTCTATTTCCCGCAGAGAGCTCATCATACATATTTCTAAATCCAACACCAACTTATTCAAAAAATCCTGCAGGCTATTTAGGCTGTGTGAAAATTTTTTTTTTTTTTTTTTTAACCAATGGGTCTTGATGTTTATCAGGCTGTGGGAACATTAGAGAGCCGGTATAGGGTCAATTAAGGATACATATGACATGCACTGCACATCTGAATTTGGAAAATCACAACATTTTTTGATTAGATTCATCAAGAAGAACTCTGCATGGTAATAAAACATGAATAATGAATATCGTTCTTTTAAATCATGTTGACAACCTCTGCAGTCAAACCGCGGAAGAGATGAGCCAAGTAGTTCAGGAATACATAAATAAATTCAAAAAATGCACGTTTGTAAACCACCCTGACGCGACGTGAAGGGAACTTTGAAAAAAGAAATATAAACAAGAGAGTGAATGGTCACATTGCTCCCAAGCAATCCTCAATGTAGCGCATATGTTGGGAAAGAAAGACTGCTTTATAGAGGTGAACAGTTGGCCTTTCTGCAAGGGGAACAGACACGTTCAGTCTAACGCAAACGTGCACAGTTTTCCTGCCCACTGGTTGTTTACACTTGCATCTGCATCGGCGCACTGTAAGGCAAGAGAAATGAACGCAGCACAAACATGGTGTCTTGCGTTTGGTCTTGCCACGGGGAAGGCATAGGGAAGCTGGGTGGCAAGAGATAAGGCCTGAGATGAGGCAAGGTTAAGCAGCAATGCCGCAAGTGAGAAACATCAATAGTAAGTGTCTTAGCTGGGCTGTGGGCCACTATAAGCCATAAGAGGTACTTAAGTCTGCCTTGGCAGGACTGTCAAAGTATGCGGCTCCTCCAGCGCAAGGCTCACCCACATTTTTCCGAGATCCAGTATTTTGACAATGACAGATGGGGAATCGTTTCCAGTTCCCATAAACAATTATATTGACAAAAAGAAGCGTAAAAATGCTTTAAGAGGCAAATGTGTGTCTCTTTCACTATTTTTGCCTATATTTACTGAACAGCAGACATAGCCCATATGCATAAAGACCCAAAACACACAAGTACTTATATTGTCACAGAATCCAATATTCTGTCAGTCTCAAAATATCCGTCAAAAAATGCTTTAAAACAGCTGGCAGTGAATTTGGAAAAAATGGCTGAAATTGTGTTATTTAAAACACATTGACTAAATACCACCAAAGATCCTCTTTTTGTGGGTTTTTTTTTTTTCAAGTTGAGGCCTTCTGTTTGCTAAGACGTGACATGTTTGATGCGCACACGTGTGAGCATTAGCTTGCCTATTACCAGAATTTCAAGTAAAAGATGAAATAACCTCAGGCAAGGGCAAGTCGCAAGTTGTACAGAGGATGGACTGTAAGCGGGTTCATTCAGAGCCAAAGGATTGGCTCGCTTTTATTAATTCTGATGACTTAATTCAATCAATTCTCTGCAAGACATTGCTGTGGTGGTAAACAACCTCTAATGCCACCTTGCAGAGGCCACTTCAACAAATCCGTTTTCTTCGCACACTTCTTTTATCCGAGGGCAGATTTACTCTTCTTATGCAAGCTATACGGTATTAACATCGTAGCGGCACAGAGAGAGAAAAAAGGTCACTACAATTATGGAAATGAGCACTGGGCTCATTACAGGGAGCAAATGCGCATTTTCGAAACGTGTGAGGCGTAAAAAGTTAAAAATATCTTCGCGCCTTCAATTGGACATGCTTTGAGGAATGACTAGCCACAGGAAAATATGAAAGACTACCAGAATTGTTTCGCTCGGCTGAAGAATGCAAAGGAAAATGCATTTCGCTACAATGAGAAATGAAAAACAGGCTTCTCGTTCTGTCTCCCCCATGTTGATTTGGTTGCACATACCTGTTATCATTAAGCTGTGTATATCTTGGCTGAGGGTCTGGGTCGCCATCATTCACATCATAGCTGGCATCTGGGTCCTGTGACATAACATGCCAAGAGTGCAGACTATTCAAGGCTATTTACGTTTAAAAAATGAATATAATTCAAAATGTTTCAATAAGTGGAGCAATTTTTTTTTTTTTTTTTAGGACAGTGAGTATATGTACTTACATAGTTCTGACTGAGGTCTGGATGGTTCTTTTCTATTCCATCATCCAGGATGGACACCACCACTCCTTTACCTGTGTAACCCAACTCCCAAGCAGCTTTGGCATTCAAGTCATGGTGGTTGGTGTTGTACTGAGGATGGAGAAAAATAATTATTGACCATCTCTTGATTCTACTTCATTGTGACACAGCAAAAAGCGGCAAAATGGCACTTTTCAAAGGTTCATTCACAGAAACATGAGCTTAAGTACTTTTTGGTGAAAGGAAAATAGCAGAGAAAGCAATAAGGCAAGCATGTTATTCTGTCATTAAGTGTCAGTACAACAAATGTGCTTTGTCATTAATGCGGACCAAAACACTGGAGACTTGGACGATGGCTCACAAATCATTTTGTATGCCGTTTGATTTGCTGTTGACATTCAATCTGACCTTTTCAAAGCTGCGGCTTTCATCCCCTTCAAAGCTATCCTTTAAGTCACCGATAGCTACAAATATCGTGTCTGATCTACCACTCAGTGCAGATGGCAGGCATTGTAAGTGCAGTCATGCCATTGGCACGAACACCATCAAGGGAATTTAGTGGTAAGCTGTGACAATGCTGACCAGGACCGATAAAAACTGGTGTCAAACACCCTGAAAATTTGGATTCAATAATGTCATGTTATTTTTCTTAGAAAAATAATTTTATTATTATTTTTTTCAAATTGACAGTGCAGAAAATGCACAAACGAATCCAAACGATGAATCGATTATCAAGAAAATTATCACTTTCATAATTGATTCATTTTTAATTGTTGCACTTCTACTTGAGCGACTGATATGCGGATTTAAGGACTCACATTTAAAAAGCACTAAGATCATACCGAAGCTTCTTCTTGTATTTCACTGTAAAAGTGCATCCTAATAGATTCACACAGGATTACATTTTTCAATGACGGGAACAATCACTTTTCCATGTTCAATAGTTGGCATTTGAGTGAATAAAAGGCTCAACCGGTGTGCAGTGACAAATTTGAAAACGCAGAAAATACACATTCATACAGTTTTACTGAATCCGAGCTTAGTACAAGTGAAACTCACCAAGTACCACTGGTACTTGAATTTCGGATCAAAAGGTTCAGTGTAGATATCTCGTTTTTTCCTCTGTTTGACCACCTGTTGCTCTGCCCAGGTTACCTAAACACAGAAGTGAGCAGATAAAAATGACAGTGAGATGTCGGTCAACAATAGCATCAAGGAAAAGAACGTTGTAATGCTATCCAAACGTCACGATATGAATTTCACAATATGATAATTATGACGACATTGAAGGGAAGTGGGCAATATAAAAAAACAAGCTCACTATACTGTATAAAAACTCACAATATTGAGAAAAAAAAATTACAGTAATCCCTCGCTATATCGTGCTTCATTTATCGCGGCTTGGGTACATCGCGTTTTTTTTTTCACAAAGTACTGTGTTCAGAAAAAAAAATACGAAATACTCAGAGGTTTTGTACATGACTGCACGCATGATTGTTTCCCGGCGCGACGTTGACCAATGATAGCACGAGTGGATTTATCCGGTGAGCCGATTGGCTGCGCATCTTTGCAGCCCCGCCCACCACCTTCCCTTGTGTCTCATCACGCTGTTGACACTGTGATTGGTGTGTCGTCACGCTGTTGGCTTTCTGATGGTTCACCTGCCTCTCTCTGGCATACTCTCTTCTGTTGTGTTTGCTAATAATAATTAAATAGGTGTACTGCTGTAGACTTTGTCTCAAACAAGTATAATCACTGTTTGCATATTTTAAACATGCTAGCACCTACATACACTTAAGACAAAAATCCCTAGGGTATGAGTATGAGTTCAAACAGTATTGGCCCTGACACCAATACTAGTACGGGTATCAGTATCTGCTCATCCCTTATAAAAACCTACAGTAGGCCAGTCTGCTGCAAGCAATGTTTCAAAGAGTTAAAGGTATCGGGATGTTTTCAGCGAAAATAAACCTGCATTTTACAAGAAAAATTGTGTTGTGCAGAAAATGAAAAATCACTACAGTAGACGAAAGCTTCTACACTGATGTGCGGTTAATTCAGTGATACCATCATCTCATGTATTAATGAATTAGTTTGTTTTAATTGTGCAGAGGTTTACTTTAGTCTCACAGTCTGAGTGGGGGAGATGCTTCGACTGAGATGTATTTTCTCCTTTCTAGGATGCGGACGGCAAGACACAGTTCAGTTGTGGCAGCCTGCAGATAAAGTGTTTTAATGTCCTTCCACATTAAGCAGGTTTCAAGAAGATAGTCACTTCACAAGCTGTTCTATTGCTCATGTCTGGTGTTAAAATTACACCGACTGTCCCCTCTGTCAAATAGCGATTGATATATATGTACATTCGGACTTGGATGCTGTCACGATCGTTAGGTTAGATTGGGAGGTTGAGGAAGTTCATTGAGTGAATGATGAGCCCCAATGTAAGAAAGCGACTGACATTCAAGTAACGCGGTTCTTAGATTTGTACCAGTAAATCAATTAGTTTGTCATCAAAAGCCCTTTTTCAGCCTTGTTTTTTTTCTTTGCAGTTTGAGGTGTCACAGAAAAAAAAATGACTCGCCTCTGAGTCACTGATTACAAAAGAGAGCAAAAAATTGGATTTTTTTTCTCGTCAAAGAAGAGAAGAGCCTCTTTCTTTTGATAGGTTTGATACATAAATTGTCAGAGGAAACAATATTCTATGGGTCTTGAAAGATCAGTCAACATGATCAAAAACAGCTGGCAATGTGGGGAACTTTGCTTTGAAAACAGCTGGCAGTGAATAAGTTGAGCTACAGAAATTGATTGATGACTCAGGAAGTTGCGCAATAAAATATGAAGTTCAGGGTGTCGTCATTTTTGACCAGGAGCAGATCAATGATCTTGTTTTTAAAATAATTCTCCTGAACAACAAAAACAACAACAATGCCTGAGTTTGATCAGTTGATTTTTGGTAAAGATTTATGGATTATTAATTTTGTCTCTTTTCGATGACCAGTGTCTCAATTCTGTCCATGTCTGTTATTAATTAAAGGGAGCAAAGCCCAACCAATGAAGAATTAATAATAACAAAAACCATAATAATAATAATAGATAGCTGACATCAGCTGCATTGGTATGTTTGCAAAACAACAATCAAAAACAAATCAACAAAATATTTACATTTCTTCTCATTCAATAAAAGACAAAAATGTGGGATGAAGTAAATAGGCATGAAGGTTACAAATACAGCTAAGTGTCAGGTCCTCACTGGGCCCCTTTAATTAAAGGGTTTCCTGTTAGCCAGCATGTGAGATCTGGGTGAGGTCTAGATCTTGTCCGCGATTCAACACACAGCAAGCTGGAAACACTGTTCATTTAAATCCCTTCGTGGCTCGTGAAAGCTGGCTGTGAACTGGAAAAATATTACAGCTATCATGATACCTGTACATCCTGAACTTTGTCTTCTGCAAATGTGCCCTGAAGTTTGTCTTTTTAACGCAAAGAAACGTGAACTCATCTACTTTTGTCTTTTAGATGCAAAAAGAATTAACAGCTTTGAGGTGGTAGGAAAATGAGAGACCAAACTCAACACAAGGGATGAGAGAAACGTTCTACACTCTTGCATTAGAAAAATAAACATTGTATACTGTAAGGGGAAAACTGGACACCCTTTTTACATTTTTTTAATACAATTATAGTGTAAACTTCTGAACTGAATTCAAAAATTTAATGGAATCTATGGTTACCATATCTTTCGGCAGGATGATAGGCTTCTCTTTTTCTGCTCATTAGTATAGCTTTCACATTTGTTTATAGAGTTATAGTTTATATAGATTAATATACGTACGAGACTACGAGTAGATATCTGGTTGGTTATATATTTTTGCATTGCTGAGTGTTTTGGGATGGTTTGAGTTTTTGATATTTTTTGTTGTGTGAAAAAGAGATCTAAAAAAAAAAAGAGTATGGAAAAAAAAGGAATGTATTTAAAACAACTGATTAGATTTTGAAGTGTTCAAACAAAATAATAGCTCAGAGGCATCTTTGTGACCCATGGTGAACTTTCCAGGGGGATATACGAAAGGGTAATTCTTCACATTCTCTGAGGTGCTGCGGAGAACAGAGGAATTCAACAACAGGAAATGGAGGCCCAGTGGTAAAGGAAACCCCAAATAGAGAGGGAGGTGGCTTTAGCTCTCACAAGAGCGGCAGACGATTGCACTTTTTCCCAGCCTGCACCTGTGCCGCACAACAAGAAAGTTTACAATGGGCATTACAAGTAAATGGCTGGCAAATTATACAAGAAAGGCTCGAAAGACTGTCTTGAAGACATTGGGTAAGATATACGAATGAAAAGTACTGGCCATTTTCATTTCAAATAGTATCCCTGAAATTGAAGGAAAGATCTTTAGTGCCATTCTAAAGAATCTTCGAGCTTTTGTTTGTCTGTTATTATTGTTGTAAATGAAACGACTTTCGCCCCTTTCTCTGCGTCATTTCCAGTGAAAACCTACTCGACCACAAAAATAAAAATTCACTCAAAAATAATTTTGGACTCAACAGTGGAAAATCAAAAACCTTACTCATCTCAAACATCTGCTGGATTATTATTTTATCCACCCGATGCAAAAATAGGGTTATTGGTTAAAAAGTCAGAGGTAACTCTGACCGTCTCAAACAGCAAACAAACATATGTGCCATGTTATTATCGATGTCTTGGCTTTCTTCCGTTTAGTTATTTTAGTAATTCAATTTACAACGATTAAAAAACCGTTTTAGACTCGTTCCCCGTGTGTCTAGCTTCATAATGCATCAGTTCCCATTGCTATCAATATTAATTTCACACACATTTTCACTTTGTCTTTCCCAGTGGAGCAGGGCACAAGCTCATTTTCAAGCTAACCTCAAATTGACTTGCAAGACTACTGGAAAATACAGAAATGTGGAATTTCCATTAGGATCAGTCAAGATGAGTGAACTGAACTGAATTTCAGAGGTTGACAGAGGAGTGTTTATGACTTGCAGGGTCTCCTCGGAGAAGAGCCTGGTCGGCTTCCATCACTCTTATGACAACAGCCCATCTGGATGCTGAGGCATTTCTGACATTTAAAATAACAGTCTAAGGATATACATTTGCCCGTCAAGCTGTCTGTGTTTCACCTCTACTACTTATATTAATCATACTAAGGGCTGTGAACGAGCCTTCGGGTTATCAGTCTAGATGAGAGATGTGCAACAAATAATATTCATAATTAATGTTATCCATTTTCTGATCCGCTTATCCTCACAAGGGCCGCGGTGCATGCTGGAGCTTATCCCAGCTGTCTTCGGGCAGTAGGCGGTTGCCAGCCAAAGGCAAGGCACACATAGATGAACAACCATCCGCACGCACACACACACCTAGCGACAATTTAGGGTGTTCCATTAACCTGCCATACATGTTTTTGGAATGTGGGAGGAAACCGGAGTAACCGGAGAAAACCCACGCAGGCACGGGGAGAACATGCAAACGCCACACAGGAAGGCCGGAGCCGGAATCAAACCCTGCACCTCCGCACCGTGAGGCCGACGTGCTAACCAGTCGACCACCGGACCGCCTAATTAATATTAGTAAATAATGTCAATTATTTATTAATTGGTGAATACAATGACCATTCCTGTTGAACCATTTCATTCATCATGATCCCCATTTTTGTCTGAGAGCTCAGTATACGTCAATGAGTTTCTTCTCCCAATACAATAAGAATAAAAAAAGACTCACAATTTTAAACCTCTTACCTTGGGATCTTTAAGTAGACGGACATGTGAGCTCCTGTGATCAGACAGCGATCGCTTTGCCACTGCACGATGCTTGAAATGGTAATAATCCCCAAAAACCTGCAATACAATGACAGAAGAGTTAAATTCATGTTAAAAACAAACCAAAACATGTGGTTATACAAGAGTAATGCATTCAAATGCCCCTGGGGTTGAGCATGAACATCCATTTTATCCAGTTGTTTGCCAAGTTTTACTTCCTCCTGCAAGAAATTGTTTACAAAACTCAACATTAAGCCAGGGGTCCCCAACCGCCGGTCCGCGGACCGGTACCGGTCCGCAGGGCATTTGGTACCAGGCCGCACAGAAAGAACTTGCCTTATTTCCGTTTTATTTATTTCGAAATACGAAATATGTTTTATTTTGAAAAATTACCGGATTCTCTGTTACATCCGTCTGTGTCACGCTTGACTCACGTCAAGGCACACTTCTCGGTCACGTGACCGATGACGCTCATAAACAAAACGCTGAAGCCCTGCAAAATGAGTAAAAAAGCTGCTTGGAGATCGCAAATGACGGCGGCCTTAAAAGTACGTTCGAAACTACTGGATCAAAGTTATGGCTGAATACTCTGAGATCGCCACAATAGCACTGTTGCTATTTCCGACATCCTACCTGTGTGAGGTGGGGAGTTTCTGCAGCAACAGCGACTAAAACAAAATTACGAAGTAGACTGGACATAAACCACACACTTGAGGTGTCATTGTCTCCTATTACCCCGAGATGGGACTGTCTGATTGCAGAAAATCAAGCTCGGGGCTGTGGTGAGTCGTCATTTTCATGCACTTTGAATTTGCGTTGTATCGTATTTTGAAGGCATTAAACATTACCAGAGCGATAAGAGTGTTGCGACCAGATTAGACGCTCCTTGTGTTTATTATTATATTTCGAAAACACCACAGTTTTCATGCAGCTCATACCATATTATTTTGTTGTATTAATCCGCCACACCTTAAATGCCGGTCCCTGAAAATATTGTCTGACTTAAACCGGTCCGTGGGGCAAAAAAGGTTGGGGACCCCTGCATTAAGCTATCTTAGCCAACCGATGCAAACGTTCATCCCTCAGTAGGATGCGGATTTAAAAAGTTCAATTGGACGAATGGAGTGCATGCCTTGGCAGCAACCAGCAGAGGCACTGCTGATTCAGAGGCGGGAATTAAGAACATTCAGAGAATCTTCTAAGGCTGTCAAGATCAAATTTGCTCATAATGGAATCAATTATTCCATCGATTAATAGGATAAAACAATTACTTTGCATTTAAGTTTATTCCTTTTTTTTTATTATTTGAATACACCGGTCAAGAGCAAATTTTAATAAGAGATCATTTTATGTGTCCCTAAACCGGTGCTTCGAGATTTTTTTCTGTTATGCTCCCCCTCCCCAGAGGATCAAGAAAACAATTTGCGGCCCCTCAAATCGCCGCGACGACTATAAATAGCATCACTTGTCTATAAAACTGTTGTAAGTACTGTACACCTCTGCGTATCATTGTATACTTATTAACTTTTACGAAAACAAAGTTGAATCAATAGATGAACACAGAACATCTTACAACACAGAGTAAGTATTGACATTGTTTTATTTTATGTGTCTTTGCACACCTTTCTTTTCATTCCTGTTAAATATTTTACCAGGGTGTCTCCTCGGGGTTTGTTGACTGCACTTCATATCTCCTGCTCTGTGCTGTGTGCGTACATGCTCGATGTTGTGGGTAGGAGGACAAAAAGAAAAGAAAAACTACAACTCAAAACTAATACTCCCCATGCACACTCTGTCTTTACTTTTTTTCTAACACATCAGGGTTTGGAGATATTTTCCTTTTTTGTTTTTAAGTTGGACCTATAAAAGCTTGCACAGTATGGATCTTTACCATGTGTTGTAATTTATAGCTATGATGTTGTCGAAAAAAAAAATCCACCTGATTATATTTCAGTGACTGGTTTGTTTGGTGACATGTCAGGAAATAGGGAAAAATGTTGATCGTTGTTCTCCAAAGCCAAAGCAGATGGTTGCAAATGGTTTATTTTGATTACTGCAAAATACTGAACGGATACTGTGAGAGGCATGCAGAGTGTGGGGCCAAAAAGGCAGCTTGAGCATCATGTATTTGACCAGAGTGATTATAACCAGTCTGTGCCAGCCAGAGCTGTTGTTATCTCTCATGGTCAAGCTTCACCTCCCTCAGTCAACGCCTCGGAAGACTTAGTGCTGAGTGAATTCGGGGCTTTTGTTTCACTAAGCCTGCATCGATAGGAAAGACTAGCACTGAAAATGTCTCCTAATATAATGTTAATTCCATATGTATTTTACTGTTAAGTATTTTGTGAACTTTAAAAAGGCCAGTTCATCCAGTCTCTTCCTGTTCAATTAACTTCTTTCTGTCTGTACACACCGATGATGACAACACAATGCACATCCCCTACCTGTGTCGCAGCACTGCTTCCATCCAAAAGAAGCACAACTCATGCCTGAATCATGTTTTAAATCAAAGTAAATAGATCAAATGCAGTCAACCTGACGTACTATATGCCCTTACGCAAAGCCAAAGGTTGGGAGAGATGCAACAGCCAAGAGGGATGGTAGACTTTAAATTGTGATATTCAGCTCTGTGCTAGTCATAACCACACAATGATACGGAATGTCTGTGAGTTGTATGGGTATAAAAACTCATTAAAGAACAAGCTCAAAGGAAGAAAAACAGAGGTATGAATGTGGAAAAGTGCTTATACTGAAAAGGCACGAGCCAAGCCAAGAAGACTGTCTATTGTGTTGGCTGAGATATGCTCTTGGGAGGTGAGACTGATCAAAGATATGCACGGATGGTGGGTGAGGTCCATTAAGTGGTATCAAGAAACAATGAAGTGATCAATTCATCCATTGAGCTCATGACTTCAAAGAGAATGTGTCAAACAAAAAACAGCTGCGGCTGGAGTGTTCTAAATTTCGGGCTGTATTCAATCTTGCTGTGAAGTGTTTTGTTCAGTATTTCAGACATCTAAAATGCAGCATAATAGCAGTTAGAAAAAAAAAACAACCAACACATAAGGGATGTATCAACTTGAACAAGTTACAAACAACAAAATGTGTAAAAATGTGTGGCGCATTGTGTGGCGGAAAATACAACAAACGGAGACCCCGGAGTATTGAACAGCTGAAGCTGCACATCAAGACAGAATGGGAAAGAATTCTACCTACACAGCTTCAAAAATGAGCGTCCTTAGTTCCCAAATTTGAATGTCGTTGAAAGAAAAAGTGATGTGAACACATGAACCTGTCCAAGCTTTTTTGGAACCATAAGATTCTATATTAACGACTATTTGCTAATAAATAGATAAATAAATAAAAAAATACAACAAAGTGTATCAGTTTGAACATTAAATATCTTGTCTTTGCGTATTCAATTAAGTATAGGTTGGACATGATTTGCATATCATTGTATTCTGTTTTTATATATATTAAATGCAACATCCCAACTTCATTGGAATTGGGTTTGATACGTTAACAAAACATATAACCCAATAATGTGCATTCTGTGTTGGTATGTTTCAAGTGTTTTGGAAAATTAGCACTATTGTGCCTTGCACAAGCACATAAACAACATTCTCAGCAGCAATATGTTTCAAGGGAAACAAACAAAGCCACATTATTGCGACTATTTAAGCGTGTTCCAGAGGTCGCCTCTCATTAAGAACAACTCAACTGTTACCAAAATATTCACACATGCAGACTTGCCACATTACCCTCGAGAATGTCCATTCCAGCATTGCAGCACAACCATCATCTGGCAATCAGTACACACGCTTAAGGGGTAATGATTTCGGCCATTTAATTCAGACCACATTGTTTCTGAGGTTTTAAATACTTTCCACTTGGCAAGAAAGGCCATTTACGACAGCTGGAAAATGGGGATTCAGAATTTGAGATTGACCATTACGAAGCCAGTAAGCTGGTCACAGATAAGAGCTGAAAAGGCTTATCAGGGTCTCTCTGAGTAGCGCATTACTGAACAGAGGCAATATTCCAATGAGTTCATTAAAATTCACGTTTTTGTTTATTTTTGTGCAGTCTCTGCGAGAAAAAAAAACAATGAGAATCCATGCATCCAAAGGTCTTACGCCTCATTTGCTGGCAAACAATTATGTTTTACAAAAAAGACAAAACAAGCGGCACGGTGGACGACTGTTTAGCACATCTGCCTCATGGTGCAGAGGTGCAGGGTTCGATTCTGGTTCTAGCCTTCCTTTCTGGAGTTTGCATGTTCTCCCCATGCCTGCATGGGTTTTCTCCGGGTACTCCAGTTTCCTCCCACATTCCAAAAACATGCATGGCAGTTTAATGGAACACTCTAAATTGTCCCGAGGTGTGAGTGTGAGCGCGGATGGTTGTTCGCCTATGTGTGCCTTGAAATTGTTCGTAACAAGTTCAGGGTGGATGCCGCCTATTGCCCGATGACACCTGGGAGAGACTCCGGCACGTCCATGACTTTCGTGAGGATAAGCGGATTGGAAAATGGAAACAACAAAACACTAGTTGAAGATAAACGAGGGAAGGGGTTTTAGGGCTGCATTCGGGTGATATGAAAATGGAGTGATGGGTTGCACTTGTGGATTCTGGTTAATTCCATGGACGAAAGACCATTAGTGCAGTAAAACTAGAGCAATGACCCGTGACGTATTTTACGACATTGTATTGGGTAGCTTAATCGTTTATTCAAGCATACAGAATGTGGCGCATTACCATATTTTGTTTGCGCCTCAGTGGCTTGTGATTAATTGAGAAAATGAGACTTTAAAATTGCCCTCCAAGAATAGTTGTGTTGTGCAGAAAATGAAGCTGGAACAAAACAAGCAAAGAGCAAGTCTTCAAAACAGGTTTGCAGGCTTGAGGTTTGTAGGCATTTGAATTAAACGACATATATGGTAGCTATTTTATGTTTGCGGCTCATTGTTTAAATTCATTGTTTTGCAACGTAAATTGTCTATTCTCATTCATTCTTTTTTGTATGGATATTCGATGAAGTGGCATGTCTGAGGTTCGGCAGATTCTCCCTAACTACC